CACTGCCACATCGTCGTGATTGCTGCAGCTTTAGAGAGAGCCTTGAAATCAGCTAGGATGTGGCTTCCAACTTTTTTTTTCTAAACGATTAAAAACTTTGAAATCATTGTTTTATGTGTAAGAAGTCAATGCTGTCATCATGTTTTTTTATTTCACCTTGTCAAGGCCACGTCTTTATGATTGAAGTAGATTCTTCTTCTTAAAGAACTATCGTAAAAGAAACAACCCTGCTTTATCTTGATGATAGCGTGTTAGAGTGACAGAAGATTGAATGAAAAGTCTGGAAATCTGGAGTATGTTCTGAGAATGCCTTTAACTCATTATGATATTTTTGGTCAGCAAACTCTTTCCCCTTTATCTATCAAGTGGAAATAATACTGATTAGAATGGTCCAAAAGCTAGAATGAAAAAGTTACATAAACGCACTCTCAGAACTGTAACAAACAGTTGAAATTTGTGATTTATTACTACCACGTCTTAGGATTCCTTCTGTGAAAATTCTAACAACTCTCTGTCATGAATTGCTTTGTAAGACAGATGCCAGGTCTTTTATTCATATAAACTCCTCTTCTCCCGCACTGTCCTAAACCTATTATCCAGGTGTTCAGTATTTCAAAACGTGGCTTCAGTGTAACAATTAAAGACCTTTTTGGTAAGTCACACGCACTCCCTCTGTCAGGTATGAGAAGCCTGGGGCCTTTGTTGGGCCAGTACAGGACTTGACAGACGCTTCTCCAAGGATCGTTACCAAATTGTTTCTGTCCTTTTGGTCTGCAACTTCCATTGCCAGCAGCTCTTGCCAAAGTTCCCTCTCGGTGCGTGTGTGTGCAGATGCTGAAAACATGAACCATCTTGTTGGGGTCACTCAGAAGACAAGAGTCAATATTCCCAGAAATGGAGTGGTCAGATTTCCTTAAAAAATGTGCAGAGATTGTGTTTCTGGAGATGCAGGCTCAAGTTAAAAGCAAACAAAAATACCACAGAACATATAACAATTTGTATTTTGAGGGATTTGTGATTCTGAATTTGGATCCAGTTCTCTTAAATACATATTAAACTTCTCACAGAACATGGCTCTTCCAAAAGAAGTATATTAGTGTAAAAACCTCATTTGCAGCTATTTGAGAAATCGGGTGATAAACCTTTTATTTACTACTTCCGAATGAACTCTGCAGGGGCAATATGGCAATAAACAGCAATCAGAGAAGAAAGACAGTTCCGTGAAGATAACCTGAAATAATCCAACCGTTTGATAAAACCCATGGAAAGAAAGACTGGTTTCTCTCATTGATCTTTTCAGCGGTGCCTTTCTCTGTACCTGGGATGTAATTACTATTATTAAACAGTCTCATGTTGCTGGGATACCATGAATAACCCCACCTGGCCCCAGGCGTGCTGGGTCTCCTCTGGTCTACCGAATCCACCTCATTCTGTTCTCTCCACGAGGAATTCAAGTCCTAGAAGGGAGAAACTAATAGGGAGGAAAGGGTATAGTTGATCTATGTACAGCATTGTAAGCATGCGGGTATTTGGGTTGGCTTCATCAGGAAAGGCTTCTCAGAAGGGTGATTACATTTCGTGAGCTGGCATTGACGGCTCGGTGAGCTCCCCTGGCTTTGGAGCCTCAGAGATTCCTCGGTTCCCCAAACGTTTGTTTGCGGGAAAAACAGGACCTGATATGGGACGGGGGAGAGTGGAGGGGACAGTCCAGTGACCAGGAGTGGGAGGAAGTTGGTGAGGCTGGGGTGTGTTGTGCTGCAGGCATGGCTTTTAGCTGATGCTCTTTTTCTTTCTCTCTCTCTGGTTTTTTTTAATTAAGTCATTCATTCATTCATTAAATTTTTGGCTGCGTTGGGTCTTCGTTGCTGCGCGCTGGCTTTCTCCAGTTGTGGCGAGCGGGGGCTACTCCTCGTTGCTGCATGTGGGCTTCTCATTGCGGTGGCTTCTCTTGTTGCGGAGCACAGGCTCCAGGTGCGTGGGCTCAGTAGTTGTGGCTCTCGAGCGCTAGAGCGCAGGCTCAGTCAGTAGTTATGGCACACGGGCTTAGTTGCTCCACGGCATGTGGGATCTTCCCGGACAGGGCTCGAACCCGTATCCCCTGCATTGGCAGGCGGATTCTTAACCACTGCACCACCAGGGAAGCCCTCTCTCTTTTTTATTTTTTAAAACTTCCCTATCCCTGAGGATTTTAGGAATCTATGCAGAGGACTAGGGAAACTTTGTCACAAGGCTTTACTTTTCTCGTGTGATGGCCTAGTCTCTTTCCTTCTGTTTTTCATTCACAGCTTTTTTTTTTTCTCATAGGGAATTTCAGGTCGAATTTATCTCTTCATTCCCTTCTCTTTTTCTTTCATCAAACTTTTTTTTAGTCGCTGTTATGTGCTAGACATTGGGAATGCCAGCCTAAGTGAGACAGAGCCCCTTCTCTCAAAATGAGCCTGGCTTGATAGAAGAAGCAGACCTGCGGGTCCAGGATGCCCGTGACCAGGGCCTGAGTGCAGTGCGTGGCCCGTGGAGGGGCAGCCGCGTTGTGTCCCATGCAGGAGGGTCCGAGCAGGCTTCCTGGTCACGGGGGACCCAGGCTGCTCATGAAGGATGAGTTCCGTCCAGCCGAGAGGGGAGCACACCTTCTCCAGGAGATACCTGAGATCTGACTGGAGCTTCGTAGATCCTTCCCCCTTTGGAAAAAAGAAAAAAAAAAAAAGGAAAGAAAAAAGACAACTGTGTTTTGCATAAAAGCTTTTGCCAGAGATAGGTTTCTGCAGGTAGTGTTTTGTGGGGTTTAGCCTTCTAGGCTGAAACAAGGGCCTCGAGACCCTTAGCAGTGTGTGTACAATTGAACGCATTTTCGCGGGAAGAGAGCACACGTTGGCATCCTCGTTGAGCTGTCCCAGTGGGCGTCGCTTTCACACGTTCTGGGCAGAGATGGTGGCTCAGCCGTGCCTCTGGAGCTGGTGGTGGCACTGGGGCTTCAGCCCGAGCTCCCATCAGATGCAAAAGCCCAGGAGTTTTCCATTGCATTATACTTTTTACCAAGAGGGAAGAAAACGTCTCCTCCTTAGGTCAGATAAAAGTGTGCCTTGTCAGCTGAAGGCTTGATAAACACAGGGGAGGTGAGGGAATAAAGACCTGCTGCAGAAAAAGCAGCAGCGAAATGAGCATGAAACGCAAAACTGAGGGAACCTTTTCTGCTCGGAGACATTCAGGAGGTGCAGGTCACCTGGTTGGTGTCACCTTTGCTTACGTTTTCACACCTCAGACTCAACAAGGAGCAAAACATTGCAGCAAGCTCTCTGGGTTTCTTCTTTTCCTTTTTTTCCTGTTTTATTCTGCAACGTGGACCTCACTCCATTGCTTTTTCGTAAAGCGGCTGGGCAGCAGGATGGCTGGAAATGCTGTCCCGGCCTCCTGTCCGTTCCTGGCTCCCATCCCAATCCCAGAGCAAGCCAAGGGAATCTGGATGTGTCTGCTGAGATCGTATTGCAAAGTTACTACACAGATAGCTGGGGCTTTGGCATTGCTTTTTTATTTTTTTCTCAGAAAGCACTTGGGTTGAACCCAAATTGCAGCTTAGTTCCAAAAAGAATAGAAGACATTTTGAAAGCTTTGCCTGCTAGCTCTTCATTCACCAGAGTGTAAGTTGCACCAACCCGGGAGCTTGTCTGTCTTGTTTGCTGCACGTCCCCAGTGATCAGAACCATGCCCACCTCCTTGCAGGAGCTCAGGAAGGACGGGAGGGACAGCGGGTGGCCGCAGGGGTGGCCGTGATTGCCAGTAGTGCCGCAAGATGGTCCTGACACCTGCGGGTCTGGGCCAGGATCCCTTTCTGAGCTCTCAGCGTAAACTGTACAGGTGCTGGCAGTGATGACGGTGCTGGTGACAGTGTACACGTGCAGGTGCTGGCTGAGGCATCTTGCATGCAGGGTCACGTTCTCTCTTCACTCAGCCATAAATACAAGGCACGTCATGTTGATGCGCCTTCCTTGCTAGTGAGGATGCCGAGGTGAGAGAGGTGACGCCTCTCAGCCAGTACTGCTGTGCCTGCCTCACAGAGCAGTCAGGCGCCTTCTCAGACTCCTGCTGCCGCCCGCCCGCGCCGGCCTTCCTGCGCCCTCCCCTGCTTCTCTAGAGCCCAGCCCGCCCCGTCTCTGCGGAGTCCTTCCTCTGCTCAGCTCCTCCCTAGGTGTTCCCTCCGGCCATGCCCACCGCCTCCCTCCCTCCTGCTCCCTCCTCTTGGAGGTGAGCTCTTCCGGTTTGCTTCTGGCTTCCCTGTCCATTGCAGCTCAGACTCTTCCAGCTGCTTCTCTCCTTTGGCCCCACCCCATGACTGGCTCGAGGTCTCCTCCTGGGTCTCCATCCTGCTTTGTCTCACCCTCCCCCCATTGGCTCATTCCATCCATGGCCATGAGCACCAGCCTGTTGACAGTGATCCCCTGGCTCCCGCTGGCCTCTCCCAGCCCATCTCCTGGCCCCTGGTACTCTGGGTCTTCCGTAAACTCTTCACATCCACCACAGGGCCTTGCACCTTGTCCCCTCTGCCTACAACCCTTTCCGCCGGTTCTTCACGTGGCTGCATCCTTCTGGTCATTGAGCTCAGCTTTCGGCTTACATGTCATCCCAGGAGGGCCTCTCTTGATCTAAATCAGCCACCCCTTTTTGTTAAAGACTCTCTTCTATTCTTTGTAGCGCTGACTGCTGTCTTACCTCCATTTTTTGGTGATATTCATTGTTTATCGTGGTATCTAACTTTTACTGGAGCGGAAGCCCCATGAGGGCAGGACTCTCACGTACACCGTTCCCTTCTGTATCCCAGAACCTCTGTCAGTACCAGGATGGGATAGACATTTGGTGAATGATGAGTGAAAGAATGAACAAACGAGTGCCTGGCATCCTGGAGCTTAAATCCAGATGCCTCTGACCCCTCGGAACTTTCCTACCGCACCTCCTGCCTCTGCTTGGACCCTTGTGTAACCATCTCTGCCCTTGTGCACTCACCACAGGTGGTCAGAGAGATCTACAGCGGCTGCAGCGGGCCAGCAGACTCGGAATGTCCTCCCCCCTCCAGCTCCCCGGTGCACAAGGCAGAACTGGAGAAGGTAAGGGGCGTGTTTCTTTCTAGGAATTAACCTTACAGTTAACTTGGACCTTCCTCGAAGTTTTCATAACACCTCTGATATTTCAGCACTTCTGGTTGAAAAAAGGAAAAAGATAATGCAGCCCTGCTTCCTCTCTGCCTGCTCTGTACGAAGCTCACACTGGCTATTTTACAGACTGCATGGTTAGTTTTATGCTTCCCAGCTGTAGATGCAGGAATGGCTGTAAACGTGGCACAGGATTTAAGGTGATCAAGGTCACCTGCTGTTACACAGCAGCGTGAGATCCGCAGGCAGCTCTGTGTTCTTCTGGAATACAGCAGGTGCTTCGTCAGTGCACCTTCCCAGAGGTTTATTCCCAACAGACGGGTAACACTTCCTGTCCTTCTCTGCTCTGTACTTGGGCGCCGTGAGCACGCAGCAGGTGGGTAGGGCTAGCCCTCCTGCCAGAGCGCGTGAACCCGCCACTCCTGCTGTCTGTCCCTGATGGAACTCTGTTGCCTGTATGTGCCGAGATCTCGTTTCCATGGAGATCCCTGGCTTTGTGCCCCACCGTGTTCTGTCGGTAGCCTCTGTCTCAGGAACTTTCTGAGCGCTCCCTGTTTGGCCCCTGCCCTGCCGGTGAACACATCCTTCTTTGTCTATTCTTGTTTTAGTCAGGGTTCTTCAGAGAAACAGAACCAGTGGGGTGTGTATGTATGTATATTATAAAATATACATAAAATTTCAATAAAGATAAAATTCTACATATACAATTATATACATACTGAGAGATTTATTATGAGGAATTGGCTCACAAGGTTATGGAGACAGGTGAGTCCAAAATCTGCATCGTGGGGCCTTAGGCTGGAGACCTAGGAGAGCTGATGACGCAGGTGAAGTCTTTGGGAGGACTGCCCCCCACCACCCCTTGCTTGGGAGGCCCATTTTTATTTTTTTAATTCAGACCTTCAACTGCTTGGGTGAGACCCACCTACACTGTGGAGGGCAATCTGCTTACTCAAAGTCCACCAATTTATTTATTTTATTTTTTAAAATTTATTTTATTCATTTATCTATTTATTTAGTTTTGGCTCTGTTGGGTCTTCGTTGAGGTGCACGGGCTTTCTCTAGTTGTGGCGAGCCGGGGCTAGTCTTTGTTGCGGTGCACGGGCTTCTCATTGCAGTGGCTTCTCTTGTTGTGGAGCACGGGCTGTAGGCACGCGGGCTTCAGTAGTTGTGGCACGTGGGCTCAGTAGTTGTGGCTCACAGGCTCTAGAGCGCAGACTCAGTAGTTGGGGTGCACGGGCTTAGTTGCTCCACGGCCTGTGAGATCTTCCTGGACCAGGTCTCGAACCCATGTCCCCTGCATTGGCAGGCGGATTCTTAACCACTGCACCACCAGGGAAGCCCCAGAGTTCACCAGTTCAAATGTTAGTTTCATCCACAAACGCCCCCCAAGTTGACTTATAAAGTTAACCTCACAACCCTCACCCTGATATTGTGACATAGCAGGCCTATTTCTCTTTTTTTCCTGATTACAAAACTAATGCCTGCTCACTGCAGAAAATTTAGAAAGTAAAGAACCAGAAATAGGATGGATAAGGTCACTTAGGAGTCTAGAGCTCCTCTCAAAGCTCTGCATGTCTTTAAACCAGTTTTCTTCTATTCGTGTGTTTCTTTTACAGTTTGGATAATCTGATGCATAAAATTTCTTATGCTGCTTTTTCCTTTTTTCTTTTCAGTTAACCTTTATACTATTAGCAGTTTTCCAGGTTTTTGAAAACACATAACATGCAACGAGCATGTTTGCATTTTCATCACCTGAATAATATCCAATTCATATAACTCTATTATTTATGTACCCCCCCACTAGGCTCTCTTTTTTCTTTTCTGAGTCGTGTAAAATAACCTGACACTTTTGTGTAAATCTTTGCTGCTTCTCTGACTATTACCTGAGAAGAGATTCCTAGAAGCTGGCTTACTAGACCAAAGGATAGAATTTTTAAAGATTTTGATTCATGGGACTAAGCAAGTTACTTTCCGAAAGTTTGATCCTACTCTGTTTCTCATCAGCAACACGTCGGGGCTCTTCTTTCACCCACTCACGTGGGAGTTGGCGGTTCTCTTTTACTGTCTTGGTTTCTAAGGTGGCATTGTTAGTGCCTGGCCGGACCTGTTGACCCAGACCCCAGGGGTGCTTCCTGGCCTGAGGGCTGGGCTTTTAGTCCTTCTATCACTGGAATGTGGCACACGCTAGGGTCCCGCTAAAGCCATAATTCTTTTACTTTGTCTCTTGCCGGTACCACTGGGGGTTACTGGCACCTGCCTGCCATCTTGGCCCAGCACTGCCTGGACCTCTTATCACGAGGTGAGCGCATGTGTCCCTGTGTTCTGGTATCATCCGGATATTTTGATTGTCTCCCGGCTGGCCAGTCTCTGTGGCCCTGGGGTGTAATTTGAGGTTCTGAGGAGGGGTGTTCTAGAGCCAATTCCTTCACTGTGACTCCACAGGGTCTCTGGTTGGAATGGAAGAGGTTCTGCTCAGAACTACGTTTCTTCTCCTGAAACTAACCTGGAATCCTAATTAGGCTCCTCAAATCCATATATTAGGATTAAAATAATTACGGGCATCCCTGTGCCCTTTGATGGCTTTGATGGTAACTCATCTCTCTGTGTGTATTTCTGACTGTATTGTTGTGAGCAGATGCTTGACACTCACCCAGTTATTGGTGAATGCTGGGGGGAAATTAAATGAATGGTGTAGGATTTATTTCTGGAAGGATAATGTGGCTTGGTGAGGGGGAATATTTTATGTACTCCTAATATTTGGTTGGCCAGAAAAGTTAGTTTGGGTTTTTCCGTAAGATGTTACGGAAAAACCCGAACAAATTTTTTGGCCAACCCAATATTTTTTTCAAAATTATTTGCAAGAAAAAGTGATTTGATTGAAACAAGCTTGGTACTACAGCGTGTGTTAGTATAACCTCAGCGACTTTTTTCTTTGTTCTTTCGCTGCTTTTAAAGCCGTTGTAGCAAACCACCCAGGTAGCCCGTGTTACAGTTGGGCCCTGTCTCCAGATTACTAGGAATGCAGCCCACGTTTTCTTTCGCTTTTGAGATGACTTTTGATTGATCCATGATGCAACACTTGGTCAGTGTGGCCATTGTAAGAATAACTTAATCTTTTGATCCTCACAGAAACTGTCTTCAGAGAGACCAAGCTCAGATGGGGAGGGTGTTACAGAAAATGGAATTGCTGTGTGTAACGGAAAAGAACAAGGTGAGTTCTGTTCGTGCCAAAAAAATATATATAAAAAAAAAACAACCCAAAACAAAAGCACTGCAGCCAGGTCTGTAAACTCTGTATGGAAAATGTCCTCGGTAGTTCAGTTATGCAGATGTCATCATCCTGTGTTACACTTGCAGAAATCCAGAGAAACCCCTTTGGTTGATACTCCTCCTCCATGTCTTTCAGTCCTACCAAACGTTGGCCTAGGTTTTCTCCCTACTGTTTTGATATGGGCCCTGCGTATATTTTAATTTATGACTTACAGCAGGTTACTTCCTCACCTGATTTATCACTGAGACACATTTGCACTGGGGGGCCGCCAGCATCTTGCTGGGAGACGTGATTTTCAGGGAAAAGAGCTTTGGATGATGAGACCGGGAACCCCCGTGCCCATCCCAACACTGCCTTTGCTGGAGCGCGAGATTGTGAGCAAGTTTTTCCTCTTTGGTGAGCCTCAGTTTCCCCATCCTTAAAATGAGGAGGCCGGACTCACAGATTGCTGATCTTTTAAAAAAGATTGTCTGGGGCTTCCCTGGTGGCGCAGTGGTTGAGAGTCCGCCTGCAGATGCAGGGGACACGGGTTCGTGCCCCGGTCCGGGAGGATCCCACATGCCGCGGAGCGGCTGGGCCCGTGAGCCATGGCCGCTGAGCCTGCGCGTCCGGAGCCTGTGCTCCGCAACGCGAGAGGCCACAGCAGTGAGAGGCCCACGTACTGCAAAATAAAAAAAAAAGATTGTCTGAAAATATCTTTATTTCACCTTCATTAAAAAAAATTCTTTTTTAATTGTGGTAAAATACAGATAACATGAAATTTACTGTGTTAACAATTTTTAAGCCCAGTTCAGCGGCATTAAGTATCTTCATAGTGTTGTACAACTGTCCCCACCATGGGTCTCTAGAACTTTTCTCATCTTATAAACTGCAGCTCTGTCCCCACGAAACACTAGCTCCCCATTCTCCCCTCCCCCCGCTCCTGGCAACTGCCATTCTACTTTCTGTCTCTATAATTTTTTTTTTGCGGTACGCGGGCCTCTCACTGTTGTGGCCTCTCCCGTTGTGGAGCACAGGCTCCCGACGCGCAGGCTCAGCGGCCATGGCTCACGGGCCCAGCCGCTCCGCGGCATGTGGGATCCTCCCGGACCAGGGCACGAACCTGTGTCCCCTGCATCGGCAGGCGGACTCTCAACCACTGCGCCACCAGGGAAGCCCTGAATTCTTGTTTTTTTTTTAAGTCAGCTTTATAAAGCTATAAATTACATAGAGTCAAATTCACCCTTTTTGGTGTACGGTTCTTTGACAAACACATGCATGTAACCTTCATCACAATCGAGATGTAGAACATTTCTATCACCCCAAAATGTTCCCTGGCAACCACTGGCCTGTTTTCTGTCCTGTAAGTGGAATCATACAGGGTGCGACCTCCTGGGTCTGGCTTCTGTCACTCAGTGTATTGCATTTGGGGTGCGTCCACATGGTGGGTCAGTAGTCTGCCCCTTTTCTAGGCTGAGAGGATTCCAGTGTGGATGGACCAGTTAGTTTATCCACGCCCCGACTGAAGAACAGCTGGGCTGCTTCCAGGTTTGAGTGGTTTACAAGTAAAGCCGTCGTAGACATCCACAAACAGGCTTTTGTGTGAACACGTTTTTATTTCTCTCAGCTGATACTGCAGAGTGGGACTCTGTGGTCACAGGCATTCGTGTGCCTTCTCACCAGCCTTTCATTGTCATATTTGTTTTGTTTTGTTCTTTTTATTTTAGCCATCTTAATAGGTGTGTAGTGCTGTGTAATTGTGACTTTAAAACACATTTCCCGACGACTAACAATGTCGAACATTTTTTAGTGTGCTTTTTTGCCAGCCGTTTATTATCTTTGCATATTCTCGCTGGATTTTTTTGTTCATGCTGATTTCTGAGAATTCTTTATCTATTCTGAATGCAAGTCCTCTGTCACAGCGGTCCCCAGCCTTTTTGGCACCAGGGACCAGTTTCACGGAAAACAGTTTTTCCATGGCCGGGGCCGGGGCGGGGGATGATCCAGGTGGTAACGCGAGCGATGGGGAGAAGCTGTAAATACAGATGAAGCTTCGCTCGTTGCCCGCCACTCACCTTCTCCTCTGCAGCCTGGTTCCCAACAGGCTGCGGACCGGTGCTGGCTCGCGGCCTGGGGGTTGGGGACCCCTGCTCTATCAGATGTCTTTTGCACACATCTTGTCCCAGTCTGTGCCTTGACTTCTAGTTTCCCACACAGTGTGTGGGCCCAGAGGAGGGGTGGGGTTAGTGGGTGGTGAGGAAGTTTTCCCTGTGCAAGGCCAGGAGCCTCTGTGCTTCCCAGGTGAGTAGTTCTGCCTGTGCAGTTCAGTTGCACTCAGTCGCCAGGGTGGTGCAGGTGTCTTCTGGCTCAGAGACACACAGAGGTCTCCTGGCCTTAAACGAAATAGCAATCCCGGCCACTAAGAACCTTGGAGCCTAAACCATCTGGGCTATTGTGATATTTCAAGGTTCACGCCAGAGGGTCGTGATCTCTGCCTTGGCCCATGTGATTTTCCAACTCGGTTGCATCTTGAGTGTAATTTTAGTTCTTTCCATCGGAAGTTATTCAGTGGAAGGTATCATCTGTGCCTTCACAGGGCACATTATGTGTAATCAAAGCCAGGAAAGCTATCTTTAAGCTTTGCCCTGAAACAGAACATACAATCTGAGGGTTCCCGCTCAGACACCGAGGCTCAGCGGGCATTGCTCTGGCTGGTCTCTTTTCTTGTTTGGGATTTCCTCTCCCAGTGTCCCTGCATGAAATTAGCTTCTACAGAATGATATATATATGTGTCTAGATATACAGGTAAGTGACTATGTCTGATATTCTTCTGTTTCCTTTTAGCAAGAGCAGCCTTCTATGCTTTGTGAAGGTGACCTTGGTTCAGACACTTCTTGCCTGGCAACGGTGCTTTGCCTATAGTAGACCCCCAGTGAATAGTCACTGACGGAAGCTAACAGCTTAAATACATTCTGACCGTCTACCTTAGCTTTTATCCTTGCTGTGCTGTCTTGATTACTTTGCAGTTGAGAAGTTCTAGTAAAGCTCCCTTGATCCCAGCCACGTCGTGACTCAGACAGATTTCTCTGCTGGCTGCATGGAAGAAATCCCCAACTCCTGCAGTTTCTCCTAAATGTTAGACTGTCCAACTGTACATGGACACGATCCAGATTCTGTGACCAAAGCCGCAGGCAGTGACTCTAAAACTCTGGTTTCTTCTGTCAAGGTGTCAGGCCCTGGCACACAATGAGCCAGTATGGTGCGATTTGGGGTGAATTTAGTAGAGCTGCTCCGGATACTGCAGCTGACATGAGCAGAGAGCATTGAGTCCCTAGGGCTGAGCTGTGTGGAAGTGACAGCTGTCCCCAACTAGCATTGAGCACGTGTACCATTTAATCACAGGTTAACGGGTCTGTTGGTAGACTTAGCATATCAGTAGTTTGATGATATTCCTCCCACCTGCCTAAATACCAAAACACCTAGACTCCCACTTATGTAGGATTAGAGGGAACCATCTGGGTTTATGACATTTACAGCTTTAAATGCTGCGAATTAGCTTTGCTTCAGTGCCTGTCAACACCGCCTCCACTCCAGCGTGCCACGTTGACATGCCATTTAAACTCTGCAGCCTTTCTGTTGTACACTTCAGTGAGTTGAGAGTTCTGAGTTTTTAGGTTTTCCTTCATAATTCTATTATATGTGCTAAATTTTGACTTTTGTTTATTGAATGGCATCAACATATTCTTGTGATTTCGTTCTCACGTTCCTACATCCTTTGGCTTTTTCTTCCAAGGACAGCCTCACTTTTGCTTTTGCAAAAAAGCAGTGGACATTCAAGGAATTAAAAGTCTTCATTATGTCCTTTCTTTGTAGCCAGAGCCCAGCAAGTCCTTTCCCAACAGGAGCAAATCCTAGTAAAATTGGAAGTAAATCTAACAGCCTGGCTTTCTCACTTGTCACTTTGAGATGCAGGGAAGGACTGACTTGTGCTGCTGAGCTTCCCAGAAGGTCCCTTCCGGGCACTGAGTGTCCTCGCTGAGAGGATCTTCTTTTCTTAAAGCTTATTAGCTTGAGTGGGGTTCTGGTCAGAGATCAACTTCAGGCTCTTTAGAAACAGCTAAGAAAGCTCATCCACTGCTGCTTTCACTGTGGGTTTGGTTGAACTGAAGTCAATGATACAGGTATTCCAACCTCGGACTCCATGTCTGATGGCAGCTGGGGAGGAGATGTGCCTTCAGACCAAGAGATCAAAGTGGTTTCTTGGTGCTTTATTTTACAAGGGGTTGCGTGTGGTGGGAGAGTGTCAGGAGCGGGTGGGAGTGACAGTCCTGTGTTTCTAATATGACCTGATTTGTTTAAAATAACATAGAAGTGCTTGTACTAGTCAGCTCCGGCTTCCATAACAAGATACCCCAGACTGGGTATTTATTTAAATACCCAAATTTATTTAAATAAACTGGAAGTTTATTTCTCACAGTTCTGGAGGCCAGAAGCCCAAGATCAAGGTGCCGTCAGTGTCGGGTGCTGGTGAGGGCTCCCTTCCTGGCTTGCAGACGGCCACCCCTCACTGTGTCCTCATGTGGCCTTTCCCCACGAGTACACCAATCCTGTCGGATCAGGGCCCCATCCTTAAGACCTCATTTAACCTTCAGTGCTTCCTTAGGGACCCCATCTCCAAATACAGCCACACTATGGGGTTAGGGCTTCAGCATGTGAATTCTGGGGAGATGCAAACATTCAGTCCGTAGTGCTGATTACCCTGAAGTTTAGTGCGGCTTCTTTTTAAAACTATAATGTAGCACCTCCTGCCTCAGACATTGTTAACTGTCGTTTCTTTCTAGAGAGGAAATTAGTGTTCAAGCACAGTGACTGGCCTCACAGTACCTCGCTGAGTCCGTGGGGTGGGGTTGGGGAAAGAAGACCTGCAGAGCCCAGATGAGGCAGACCCGGGCGAGGGTGGATGCGTGCTGGCCTCGTTCCGTGGGCGCAGGGCGGCTGGCTTCCCCACCCCCCCACTGAGAGCAGCTGATGTGGTAGAAAGGAGGGGGGAGGGCGTACGCTTTTAGAGGGTAGGTTTAGGAATGAGGCCCATAGTTTATAATCTCACATCCCTGAATCCTCTTCCTCTGAAGTTATCCTGTGTGATGTTCGTGCATGTTCTGTGTCCACAGGGAGAGGGGTGGGGAAGGAATTCTTGACTTTCATTACATTTTCCGAAAGGTCCGTGCCACCCTCTGAGTTACAGAGGGGTGAGGGGTCCTCCTGGAGAGGACCGAGCAGGGGCCGTTGGGGGTCTCGGGGGTTCAGGTGATGGTGTCTGGCCTTGATGCTGTGGGTCCCTCCGGGGCCCTCTGAGCGAGGCCCTTGGCCCCAGCAGCAGGCACAGAACAGCCCCAGGTGACAACTCACCTGCCAGAAGTGCTCTGGCAGGAAGGGTCTTGTCCCTCAGTCCTGGACCATCCTTAGCACCCACTCTGGTTCTGCACCCGCTCCCCACCCCCGTGATTCTGTCGGAGGTCGTAGGCAAAGCCCGCAGGAGCTGGAGAGAGCAGATTGCCGCCACAGGTCAGGCACAGGATAGCAGCTGGCCGCTGGCGCTCAGTCGGCTGGGGTCCGTGGACTGTCGTCAGCTGGGCACGTAGGTCCTTGCGCACGGCTGCGGCTTCTCAGGCTCTGTCCCTGCCCGCTGTCGCTTACCAAAATGTGGGTTCAGAGTTGCCAGGCCTTCCCGTTTTCCAAGGGGGGCCAGAAGTCATTCATCTTCATGCAGAACATTCATGAATTTTGTGCATACGGTTTAGCACTGCAGGCCAAACAGAACACACGGGGCTGGAATGCAGGCTGCTGGTCTAACAGCTCTGGATGGGGCGGAATCCCACGTGAGTCTGACAGGTCAGTGAGGGGCTGGTGGAGGCTCGCTGAGTCCCCCTGCCCCCTCACCTGCCGGACCCCTCCCTGTGCAGGCCAGGTTGCAGCTGCCCGAGCCTGTCTTGTGTTTCTAGACGTGTCCGGCTCCTTCCAGCATCACAGGCTCTGTGTTAGCTGATGCTCTTCTTGCCCAGACGGCTCTTCCCTTGGGTTTCTGCACAGATGCTGCCTTGTACTGATACTTAGTTCCTCTGCTTCGTGACGGCCCGGTCACTGTACCACGTAACCCTAGTTTAGGTCTACAAAGGCCTTTCCATCATCCGACCTCCTTCAGGGGTGTGTGTGTGTGTGTGTGTGTGTGCGCGCGTGCGTGCGTGCGAGCACATGTGTACATGTGTGTGCGTGTGTGCGTGTGTTCTCAGCCTGCTGTGGAACACAGCTTCCTGGGAGTGCCTGTTTCCTGCTTTGTCCTCTTGTATCTAGACGAGTAGCTGAGGCACGGCAGGTGCTCAGTAAGTAGAAATTTGGGGAAAGAAAATCGGCCGTGAGTCACGCTTTATTTTGATGTTTCTTTTCAGTTAAAGTCTCTCGTTGAAACATGCTTTTTTGTCGTCACCTTTCTTCACAGTTAAGAGGAAAAAAAGTTCCAAATCAGAGGCCAAGGGAACTGTGTCCAAAGTCACCGGGAAGAAGATCACCAAGATCATCGGCTTGGGGAAGAAAAAGCCATCGACGGACGAGCAGACCTCCTCGGCGGAGGAGGATGTGCCTACTTGTGGTAAGACGGGGGTGCGTGGGGTTGCCAGGTCTGCACCCTCTCCCCGAGCACGCGGAGACCCTCTCCGGGGACACCTCTGCGTCATGTTCTTCTAAGTCTTACTGATTGGGCTCTTTGACGTTGGGCTTGTGATCAGTTAAATTGTGGAGAATGGATTGCATTTCACTGCTTATTAATGAAGGCCTTGCAGGCGTTTGAGATGATCTCTGAAGTTCTCTCAAAACAAAAAACAAATTCTCTCTTTGATCCCATGAGGTTCTTCCAAATCCCGTTTTCTTTTTTTAACTTTATCTTTTGTTGTATATTTATTTATTTATTTATTTAGTTAGTTAGTTAGTTGCACCGGGTCTTAGTTGCGGCAGGCGGGCTCCTTAGTTGCGGCTCAAGGGCTCCTTAGTTGCGGCAAGGGAACTCTTGGTCGCGGCATGCACGCGGGATCTAGTTCCCGGACCAGGGATCGAAGCCGGGCCCCCTGCCTTGGGAGCACAGAGTCTTCACCACCGGACCGCCAGGGAAGCCCCCAAATTCCTTTTAAGCGTCTTTAAAGGGAAACGTACGCATGGGCGGTTGGCCAGCGGAGGCGGGTGTGTAAGAGCGTTTACAGGGTCCCTGGCAGCCCCTTCCCTTGGCCTGACGTCACACGACTCACCTTTCTGGGGCTGCTCCACTTCTCAAGCTTCCGCCTCAAGTGCAGTCGGGCCGGCTGACCCTTCCCCTCGTGGGTCTTCGTCCAGTAAGTGTTCTCTGGGCTGCTGGCGGTGGGGCTGCGTCCGCGGGGCAGGGGACGCGACGACCAGGTGACTCCTGCGATCCCACTGCATCCAGCCTAGCGCCCGAAGGGCGGCCTGAGGCAGGGGGTCACGGAGACAAACGTGTGGTGACTGACTCTGATCACGAACACGGCGGGGATACGAGAGGGGCAGCGGGAGAGTCTGGCGGGGATGTGACTTACGCGGAGGCGCCTCAGGGAACACCTCCCTGGAGAAGTTAGACCACACGTGCGCGGTGTTTCCTAGGCAACCGCGTTTACGAGAACCGTGCGACCCCTTTAAGGAGAAACGCTTTAGAGGCTGAAAGACGGATATTTAGCCTTTAGGAAAAATAAGAATGGGCTGTACTTCCCCTTGCGGACCACAGGGCGCGTCACACGTCCGTCCCGTAATGGCTCTTATGTGTGCCCGCTGTTTACCTCTCTCTCTCTCTTTGTTCCCTCTCTCATCGAGCATCTCTTCTGTCCACGGTTCTGGGTTACTGAGGATGCCAAAAGACAGCAGCGTTTAGATGCCACCCGTTAGTGCCTAAGTTGGGCCACACGCGCAAAAATGCATTTCTTCAGCCGATATCACGTCCCAGGGGGTGGCTTGTGCTGGAAGGGCGCCGTGAGCTCAGAGCTGTGTGGGTGGGCAGGAAGAGTCGGTTGTGGAGTGCAGCGCGGGTAGACTTGGGGCAGGGGGCCTCCCGAGGGGGGGGCAGGGTGGACTCCCAGCTCCTCACAGGTGTGACCCTAGGAAGTCCTGATAGACTTCTGGTGACACAGTAACCCCCCTGGGGTGCTGTGCAGAAGTGCGTGTGGAGTGGAAGATGGCTGGGCGGGCAGTGGTCGAGGCCTCTCGGGGTTGAGGTGTCATCCCAGGGAGGCCCCCATGAAGCGGCCGCCTGTGGGTTGAGCTGGGAGGGGAGATGGTGGCCGCAAATGGAGGCCAGCAGTCTGGGAGCCCCCGTGCATGCAGAGGTCGTGAACTTGCCCCTGGTCCGACGGCAGTGGGGTCACAGAAGCACGCTGACTGATGCTCTTTCCACTGAGAACGACCGCCCTGCGGAAGCTGAGCCAGCTGGACAGAGCCCTGGCGGGAGGGCAGCTGCAGGGGGGCTGTGAATGCCGGGGCCTGTGGCCCTCTGCCCTTGCTGGAGCGGCTCACAGCACTGGGTGATCTGCGGTTGTTTCCCGCTGGCATTAGCCCTGGAGAGGAGATAGGAGTCAGGGGTTAGAAATGGAAAGAGGGAATTAGCCAACAAAAAGGGAACTCCTTTTTTAGTTTTTTGGGTTTTTTTTCTTAAAACTGCCCCAGATCAGCAAAGGAAATAGAGGTTCTTTCATGAAAAACAATTAAACATTCATATGGAAGGCAACTTAGCAACTGTGGTCCAGACCCCTCATTTTACAATGAGGACACCGAGAACTCGGGAAGGTCGTGGGACTTGCCCTGAGTCACACGGCCAGCTGGGGACAGGGCCAGGCCCGCCGGCCAACCCTGTCGCTGTCCTGAAGCACAGGTCTCCCCCGTCCCCCTCCCGTCCCCCAGGGCTCGCCACCCTCGTGACTCCTAATGAACAGCTGTGTGGGCAGTTGGCCTAAGGGCACAGTGGAATTGCTCAGAGAGCAGGCCTGGTGGAGCTGCAGCCCCGCATCATCACCTGAGGGTTTCTGCCAGGCTCTCCGTGGACGTCATTCGCCTCCACTAAGAGAACATCCTCTGTGCACAAGGTTTTAAAATTTGTCATCTAGTTCTTTGCTGGGCCGGGGGACGGGGGAGAAGTCTGTGGAGACATCGAGGGGGAGAATGACTGTCTTCAGTGATGTTAGGACAGCCGCAAAGTCTCAGGCAGGAAAAGTAGCTGGATGAAAGCCCAAGAACCCCATCCTTCCCAGAGTGCCACGCGGACGGGTCACAGACGAGAGCGTCCCCAGGGCAACTGGGAGCTGAGTCCAAATCCCAGCTCTTCTGGGAGATGCAGCCCGGCCAGCTGGGGCTCTGGGTTGCAGGAGAAATGCCGGCAGGTAGGAGAGGGCTCTCTGCAGGTTTCCCGCAGGCGGGGTGGGAAGAGGCGCCCACACCAGCCCCCCGCTCCGCCTGTCCTGCCTGGCTCTCACCCCTCTCTCGGGCCCTCAGCCAGCGGGTGCTGCTCTTAGTACCAGCCGGGTCCACCCCACAAACAGCCACTTTCACAGGGTGATCCGAGACTTGCACACAAACCCCTGAGCAAAGATGGGTCCTTTATTTTCCCACCTCCAGTGCTCAGGCGTTCCGGAAGTATCGTCACCGTATAAGGGCATCAGGAGATGCCTTTCACGTTTTTCTGTCTTCCCCAGCCCGTTTCTGTCTGTTGTTTGGACTCGTCCGCAAGCCTCGCGACTGTCCACCTTCTTCTCCTCTGGATCCCTGCAGGCTACCCCCTGGGAGTTTTGAAACCTTGGACTAATCGTATCATCCTGTGCTCAGTCAGTTCAGGGCCTCTAACAATCTTGTCTCACTGAATTTTCCAATTTCTTGTTCCTCCCATTACTGGATTAAGATGTAGGTCGAATTCACCCACCAGCTGTGTTCCCAGCACCGAGCACACAGCCTGGTGGATAATAGCAGCTCAGTAAGCACTTGTTAATTGAATGAATTAACTTAAGCAAGTCGCACACACTTCTCTGAGCCTCAGGTTCCCCACCTATGAAATAGGCTTATACTTAAACTACTTTCTTTTCCTTAGAATTGAGGATAAAATCATGAAACATTAAGCTCATTGCCTACTTCGTAATTTATGCTCAGTAAATGGTCGCTATTATCATTCATTTGTTCACCTGAAAAAAACCTAAGCGTACCAGACATAGTCAAGCCGCCATGAGGGCAATGCCGGATGAGTGGCATTGAAAATATCGATCATAGAAATACAGAAGCTGAGTGAAAGGAGTGGTCCCCAGTTGCTAGGATGGAGGGCTTCCTGAGGCAGGGTAACCTGGGCTAGTTGGAAGGACCTTCTGGTTATCTCTGGGGCCCCTTCTGGCTCTAATGGTCAGTGACTTTGTGACGTTTTCAGCAGTAGGATTTTTGGTGGATGTGCAGGAAAGTTATATACCTCTCACTTCCTGTCGTAATCCACCCGACAGAAGTTCAGGTGACATTTAATCAAGGGGGAGGGACGCGTTCTTGACGTCAAGGGTGTCTCGGGTTCTTTGGGTGCCCGCTGGAGGGCGCATGCCTCTGGTGGAAGGGAGGGTTTCGGCGTCGCGGGGCGGGGATCAGCTCTCAGCAGCCCCTTTCCTCTCAGCCGATCACAGTCTGAGGCTGGCTAAGATGAGACGAGCAATTCAGTGAAAGTCCTCACAAAAGTGTGACCAGAGCACAGGAGACGCTGCCCTTCCCGTCCTAGAGAAGAAGTCAGTGGACGTGGGCCCCCCTTCGGCCAGGCAGCCCTGTCTGCTCGTCTGCAGCTGCTGGACCAGAGGCGCCAGGTCCCCACGCAGCTGACCGCGGGAGCGTTCACATCTGTCCCCTCCTCCTGTGGTTGTGTGTGTTTGGTCAGCCTCAGGCCGTCCTCATGAAATCTTATACGCACTTGTCACCAAGCTTTTGCAAGAGGCCTTAGAGTTCTTTCTTTAGAATTCGGAGCAAAGATAACCTCAGAACATCAAACCGAAATTCCCAGATGGTTACGATACCGTAACATCTCACGATAACATGATAGGTGGGAACAGACAAACAAAACATCAAATGATATTGGAATCGCCTTATTAGTAGGGCGCTGACCTGACCCAGGCGAGCCTGCGAAGGGGCCCGGCTGCTCTTTGGTGCCACCTGGTGGTGGGTGTCTGCTCAGGCTGATCGTCTCGGGGCTGACGGGGTCCTGTGTCGGCAGGGATCCCATCACAGCCTAGCCGTGTCGTGGCGGGGAGAAAGAATATTAGGGGATATGGGCCCTGCCCTCTGACTCCCGGGTACTTCGGTGAGCTGCCTGCCATGTCCCTGCGTGGCCTCTCCCTCATCCGGGGTCCCTACCCAGAAAGTAGGAATTTCGGCCACCTCTTTGGAGAGGGCGGGGAGCCTGCGGGGGGAGGCCAAATGCCAGATGTGGGCTTGTTTCCGCGGCGTTTGCTCTTTACAGAAACAGGCCTGTTACCCACTGTGATTCTCGTTTTGCTTTTCCCTTTTGGGCAACTGTAACTCATTATGAGGAAGGCGTTAAAATATGGTCATTTCCTTTGAAGTCGTGCTCTAGCTAAAGTGTGGATCTGTCCAATGTAATCATTCCTTTTGTGACTCACATGTCAAGAAACCCATGGCATTTGGTGACTTGGTCAGGGAAGAAAACCTGATGAGCACCTTCCCCTCTTCAGGAGATGCGTCATTCGCGTGGCTGGCCGAGCCGTACTCAGAAGCTGCGGCCCCCCTGCGCTGGGGACAGGTGCACCCACGTGGTGAATTCTAAGAGCCAGAAGTCCTGTGGAAGTTTAGAGGAATCCCCTCACTGTTACTGAGGAGGCAGGTGTGCTTAAATTCCTCAATAAACATTTTGGCATCTCCTTCCCCCCTGTGACCCCCGCCATCTTCTGCAACAAGGACGGGCCCCTGCAGTAGCTTCCAAGGTTTTCTGTGACCAGGTCGCTAGACGTCTCAAGTCTTAGTTCACTACGCTCCCCGCTTCTCCAGGCCTGAAGGGATCCCCCAACCCCTTAAGGCCCAGGTGAGGACCCGCCCCCGGAGCACACATAAGCCTCCACTCTGCCAGTCCCAGTGGTCACGTCCATCAGTGCCCTGGGCCTTAGTGCTTCCTTCTACAAACTGTTCACTCGCCTGTCGACCTTGTGTGCCCAATCGACTAAGTTCGTTGAAAGCCATCCATGCTTCCGTTTGTTTCTTCTTAGTTGTACGCCCGCCATCATACTGTCCATAGACCACGTGTGTCCATTCGTGCTCGGGACATATTTATGGTGGATCCAGTTGCCGGCTACTTCCAAAAAATCCAAAGATGTGGGCTTCAGCGTGATTAATGACTTATAGACGGAGATACTAAATAGTTCTAATAGCTGTTACTCAGATGTTCAGATATTACATTTGACTATATGTTTTAAGTAGAGCTTAAAAAAAAAGAATAAGTGGATCAGAACTATGTCATTTCCAAATAGTATTTCCCAGAATGAAAACAGCAGCTCTTTCTCTTCCATCTCTAACTGTCCAAAGGGCTTCAGGTCGGTCTTCGCTGCGTAGCCGTGAACAAGAAGGAAGGAGATCAGGGTGTGAGCCTCCTTTTTTTTCTGAACTCTGCTTCTCCAGCCTGTCTTCGCCTCCCTCCAGTCCCTCCTAATTGTGCAAAGCGCAAGGAACTTCAGGTCCCAGGCACTTGAGCTCATGGGCTCACTTCTCCATTTTCTCTGTAATTTTACAAATATGGCAACTTGTGTCCCAAATGGAAGTTTTAGTCCCAGGTACCCTTTAGGATATATTGGTAGAACTGATTTATATTCAACTGAACGTACATTTTTTTTTTTTTGCGGTACGCGGGCCTCTCACCGTTGTGGCCTCTCCCGCTGCGGAGCACAGGCTCCGGACGCGCAGGCTCAGCGGCTATGGCTCACGGGCCCAGCCGCTCCGTGGCACGTGGGATCTTCCCGGACCGGGGCACGAACCCGTGTCCCCTGCATCGGCAGGGGGCCTCCCAACCACTGCGCCACCACGGAAGCCCTGAACGTACATTTAAGTATTATAAGCATTTTCCTGGTGAATTCATTGAGCTGTTATGTATAGTAACATCTATACATAAAATAGAAAGCATCATTCTGGAACCTCTAACACCCCTATTTGGGGTTTTGTTTTCATTTGGTTTTAGCCTTTATAGCATTTATCCATTGCTAATAAAGTGTGTAAGGTGTAGAACAGAAAAGAAGCAAAAGGCGTCGTCCAGATCCCTTTCGGAAAAAGACATTTAAAAAATCAGGATCAGAAAGGATTTTATTTATTTATTGAGCTGCACGTGTGTGCGTGTGTGCACACGTGTGTGTGTATGTGTGTGTGTGACTCGAAAGAGCAGCCGAATGACTTAAGGAATCCTTGTTTCACTTCTTCCTTGTTGACCTGGACTCTATATGCTGTTCACTCACTTCCTCCGTCTTCCTAGCATTACGGACTGGTCAGAAGTCACCCCGTGAAATCTGTTTGTCCTGCCTTGTTATTTCCAGAAAAATGCACTGTATGTTTGTGACAGGTGAAAATGATCAGTTTCTTGTATTTGAGGTGATTTCCTTTCTTAAAAAATGAGGGCAGGGCTTCCCTGGTGGCGCAGTGGTTGAGAGTCCGCCTGCCGATGCGGGGGACACGGGTTCGTGCCCCGGTCTGGGAAGATCCCACGTGCCGCGGAGCGGCCGGGCCCGGAGCCATGGCTGCTGAGCCTGCGCGTCCAGAGCCTGTGCCCCATAACGGAAGAGGCCACAGCAGTCAGAGGCCCGCGTACCGCAAAAAAAAAAAAAAAAAATGAGGACAGCTCTTCTTGTAATTCCATCACATTCCATCCGTAATGCACTGAGGATGTAGTGCAGCCTCAGAGACGTGGATGACGAAACTCCACATGCATCAGACTCAGGCCTTTAGACTGCAGCAGTCTAAGACAGCATCTTCCAGTCAGAGGGCGCTGAGGAAGGGCATCTCTGGCCTCCGGGTAGGAATCCCATCCCGAGGATTTGCCGTCACTTGCTGGAATACTTCCAGTGGTGGGGAACTCATCCCCTCCCAGGGCTGCCTGTTTTGTGGAAAGCTTTCATTTTCAGGTAGTCTTATTCCTCATGTTAAGCCCAAATCTGCCTGTCTTGTCACTCTTGCCCTGGTGGTGTCATTTGCAGCTACTTGGAATGAACCCGAACCCTTTCCTGGGTGAGGTCCCTTCAGCTATTTGAGGACGGCAGTGTGTCCTCATAGCCTCTCTCCTGCCAGCCACTGATGGCTCAGTGACCTCTCGTACACCGGGCAAGCTCCGGGTTCCCTACATGGTCCTCAGCACGCATCACACAGTGCACTCGGGCTCCTGGGTGGTCTGTCCTGTCTCGGCCCCCAGAGCTGACGGAGGTCAGTCATCTCGCAGTGGTGGCTCTTGTTGCTCCCAGGAGCCTGCACTTGCAGACGTGCTGTGTGCAGGGTTCGTTCCGTCTTCGTGGCCTCCTGGGGCGCATCCTTCCTGGGGAGGCTGACGGGCCTGCTCTCGTTGCAGGCTACCTGAACGTGCTCTCCAACAGCCGCTGGCGGGAGCGCTGGTGCCGCGTCAAGGAGAACAAGCTCATCCTCCACAAGGACAGGGCCGACCTGAAGACCCACATCGTCTCCATCCCGCTCCGTGGCTGCGAGGTCATCCCGGGGCTGGACTCCAAACACCCCCTGACGTTCCGGCTGCTTCGCAACGGCCAGGAGGTGGCCGTGTTGGAGGTGGGAGCCACAGGACATTCGCTCGCGGTGGTTTGCCTTCTAGGGTCCGGCCTGGACGCCCCGTCAGGTCCTCACAGCTGGCTGATGGCAGCTTTGGTTCTGTCCCGTCCCACGTGTCCTGCTTTTCTTCTCCGAGGGGCCCCAGCTGTGTGGACGGCACAGCCAGTTCTCTGCACAGTGTCCACGGTAGACTGCCTGCCGGGTCACCTCCTTGTCTGATATCCTCTCTGTTCGTGTTTGCGTGGAAGTTCAGTACACGATTCCAGGCAGTAGATTGCTTTCTAAAAGTGGCCACAAAACGACTTGTTTTAAAATTTCCAGTAAAACTTCTCCCCTAACCGTGGTCTGCCTCTGAATTGGTGGCATTTCCTTCAAGCTGTCCTTTGGAATGTTCTGGGCTTCTTCACCGATGGAGCAGGTGTTTTTTGACTACCAGTTGCCTATCGACAGTGGCCAGAGAGCCAGATGACAAAAGAACAAAAAGAACACCTTTGGTTTTTAAGAACCCTTGGCTTTGCATGCATTTTATTGTTTGGTTGCTTTTTCAGACCTCCTTATTCACGAAAGCAAACAAAGGCAATTCAAACTAATTTCTTAGCTACACACTTAAAACTTTCGTTTTTGAAATTTTAAATTTTTATTTATCGTCTGTTATTAATTTATTTCTACCCAATATTAATTCAGACCTTTTTTCCTTTGTCTTTTTTTTTCACTTAGCATTATCATGATTAAGATACAAAGACACATACGCATACATATGTGTATCCACGCATACACAAATATCAGAGTGTACGTGTAAGTATAGTTATGCTATACAGTTGATAGAAATGAGGATATTTGGGGTTTGGTGGCATGGCTGACGTGTCTTCTGAATTAATCAGTTGCAGAGCCTAATCTAAATGACTGCAGTGTCACTGACCAGTGAGGGAAAGGGCGTGGGCTCGTGACCAAGATCAAAGGGGCCCCGTTAGCCAACCTAGAAGGTCTTGGTAGGAGATAGGAGTTAGTTTCAGAGACTGCTTTTTTTTGGTGGGGACAAAAAGAGATTAACAACGTAGTTCTTTCTCACACAGGGCTCCTTGCCCGATGGCTTGGATGGTTTGAGATAACAGGTCGAAGGGCCGAGCCTGCCCTTGTGGCTGACTTCCCAGACGGGAGGCCAGGCCTGGCTGGGATCAGGATATCTGGGCCCCAGTCCTAGTTCTGTTGCAGACTTTGATCACAACCCAGTCTGTTTTTCTCTCTCGGCTTCATTTGTCTGTAAAACAGAGCATTGGGCTAGAGTCGGTGTGCTTTGTAAGCATTTATGAGGGCTGAAAGCTGTAGGGTGGATGAGAGTGGAAAAAAGCCAAAAACGTAAATGAGGAAACTGTACTCTTGATGCAAACAACTCAGGTGTCACGTGAGAGCTCTGGCAGCAGATCTGAGAGGCTGCGAGGACAGGAAGGCACACGCTGTGGCTTGGCACACGCTGGATTCAGGGGTGAAAAGTGAGATGCTGGCCTGGACACCGGGTGGTGACAGGAGCCCCCGTGGGGAGGGCAGGGGCAGGGGCAGGGGAGCAGCTGGGTGAGAAGGGCCCTGTCCTGTCTTTGCTCCCATTCCTGTAGGTGCAGCCTCACGTCCCCAAAAAATGGGGGTTGTGTTTCATTGCCTTTTCCCTATTCCAGTTATTAAATCAAACACGGATACACACGCGCACGCACACACACACACACACACACACACGTAACCACACTCAGTGTTCCAACATAAGCAAAGAGTTTGCCTGAATCAGTTAGGAAATGCAGTGATCCGACCAGTAAAGTATATTCTGTACTTTTTCTAAGACCATTTTGTCTTAACTTTTGAGATAATTTCAGAATTACAGAAAAGTTGTGAAACTAGTACAAATAATTCCATGTACCCTTCACCCATATTCCCCAAATACTAACATTTTACCATGTTTGATATCTCTTGCATGGTCTCTTCCCCTCTCTGTCCCTCTCTCTCTTTCTCTCTCTCTGTCTCTGTGTAAATTTTTTCAGAACCTTTTACAGACGTGTTGCCCCTTTATCCCTAAACACTTCAGTGTGAAGTTGCTCAAAATGAGGGTATTTCTTTACTAAAACCACTGTATAATTATCGAAATCAGGAAATTCACACTCATGCAATACAATTATCTGACTTACAGATTTTAATCAGATTTTCCCAGTTATCCCCATGATGTCCCTTGTCAGCGGAAGGAAACGCCAGGTGGTGTGTTGCATTCAGCTGCAGTCTCTTTGGCTTTCTCTGTCTGGTTTCATGACATTGATACTTGGGACGGGTACAGACCATTATTGTGTAGACGGTCCCTCAGTTTGGGCATATCTGCCATTTCCTTGAAATTCGAACCTGGGGCGGGCATGCTTGGCAGGGGCACGTGGAAGCAGTGGTGTGTTTGGTACTGCATCACTTAAGCAGGCACGCCCGTCAGTTTGTCCCACGACTGGTGATGTTAACTTTGATCTCTCAGGTGGGGTGTCTGCATGGCTTCCCCACTGCAAGGTTACTGTGTTTGCCGTTTGTCTTTAATAAGCTTCATGCGGGAAGATTCTTTGAGACTCTTTCAATATCCTCTCACTCACAATTTCACCCACTAATTCTTAGCATCCGTGAATGACTCTTGCCTGATACAGTTATTAAAATGACAGCTGCTAAATGGGGACTTTCTAATTCCATTATTCCTTCTACGCTTATTAGTTAGTATCTACTATAAGGAAGATTTCCCTTTCTCTCAATTAATTATTCATTCATTTATATATATATGTATATCCGCAGGGGTTCATAGATTATTGTTTTAATCAGTGTTTATAATCCTTTATTGTCATGATTTATCCTGGTCAAATGAACAGAGTTGGTCAGCAGAAAGCCCTTCGAGCCATGTGGCCTTTGCTATGTCCCTATAATAAAGACACCACAGTCCGCGGTCCCCTTCTTTCTTTGAGCTCTTTCCTCATGTTATGATACAACAAGATGTTCCAGGCTCATCTTGTACTCGTCTCTGCCCCAGGCCTCTTGGAATCAGCCGTGATCCGAAGAGCTCTTAGTGGACAACTCCTAGTGGGTAATGGTGTTTAGAAACCAGGATCTGGGTAGAAGGTGTGCTCAGAGTTACTGGGGTGTCATTGCGCCTGGCCTTTTCAGTAGTCATAGGAAATTGTGTGTATGTGTATGTTTGTACATATGTATATTCAGGCATGTTTCTGTGTTATACATATTACACACATGTATGTGCATATATACATGTGTATACCTGCATGTATACCTATTTATATACTAAAAGCCACAAGATCGTAACTAATACTTCTAATTTTAGTCCAAGGCCACAGAGTTATTATTTTTTAAAAGCCTACGAGGAAATTTCTTAAACAATGAAGAAAATAGTTAACAGTTTAATAGTATCAACCACATCTTAGATATTATGTTAACATACTTTCAAAAATGCTTAAATGAAATAGTTATAGATACACGGATATAGATTCAGTCGTAGATACATTCTTGACATAGATTTCGTTTGGAGGAGGACAAAAGACCAGTGAAGAGAACATATTTGTGATTTTTTTATTAGCCAAGCACTCAAATCAATTCATTTCAATTTAGCAAACATTGATTACATTCTTACTCTCCGTAAGGCGTGTAATTGGAATCCATTCACTTTGTCCATGGCCGCATATGATACTGTTGCTTGTACAGTATCAGTAGCCAATTCTATCAGCACACAAAAAACAACTCCTTCCTTGTCAATGCTCTTCCTCCCGAGAGCCTGCCATGGGGTATATATATATGATTACTTGTATTCTGATCACTGTTCAACTCATCAAGGTTATAATGATGAAACCCAGTTTTCTTTAAGTCTTGAAGCTAAACTTACAGATCTTCCTTTATATAAAAAATTTGTAATTTTTGCAAAAAGCTAAATATTTATTTTTTCTTTGACATTCAGTTAACTCACATTCGATAGCTCAGTTTCCCCTAAACTTTAAATATGACTTACACAGTTGATTAGCCAATAGTATTTAGACATTTGAAATACCATTATGAACGTAATGTAAGTGATTTTCTAAATCACATAAGAAGGACGGCTTAAAATTTTAATGAACCCAATCTTTTTTTTTTTTTTTTCTTTATTGGAGTATAATTGCTTTACAATGGTATGTTAGTTTCAGCTTCACAACAAAATGAATCAGTTATACATATACATATAGTCCCATATCTCTTCCCGCTTGCGTCTCCCTCCCTCCCACCCTCCCTATCCCACCCCTCCAGGCGGTCACAAAGCACCGAGCTGATCTCCCTGTGCTATGCGGCTGCTTCCCACTAGCTATCTACCTTACGTTTGGTAGTGTATATATGTCCATGCCTCTTTATCGCTTTGTCACCGTTTACCCTTCCCCCTCCCCATAGCCTCAACTCCATTCTCTAGTAAGTCTGTGTCTTTATTCCTGTTTCACCCCTAGGTTTTTCATGACTTTTTTTTTTTTTAAATTCCATATATATGTGTTAGCATACGGTATTTGTCTCTCTCTTTCTGACTTACTTCACTCTGTATGACAGACTCTAGGTCTATCCACCTCATTACAAATAGCTCAATTTCGTTTCTTTTTATGGCTGAGTAATATTCCATTGTATATATGTGCCACATCTTCTTTATCCATTCATCCGATGATGGACACTTAGGTTGTTTCCATCTTGGGCTATTGTAAATAGAGCTGCAATGAACATTTTGGTACATGACTCTTTTTGAATTATGGTTTTTCAGGGTATATGCCCAGTAGTGGGATTGCTGGGTCATATGGTAGTTCTATTTGTAGCTTTTTAAGGAACCTCCATACTGTTCTCCACAGTGGCTGTATCAATTTACATTCCCACCAACAGTGTAAGAGGGTTCCCTTTTCTCCACACCCTCTCCAGCATTTATTGTTTCTAGATTTTTTGATGATGGCCATTCTGACTGGAGTGAGATGATATCTCATTGTAGTTTTGATTTGCATTTCTCTAATGATTAGTGATGTTGAGCATTCTTTCATGTGTTTGTTGGCACTCTGTATATCTTCTTTGGAGAAATGTCTATTTAAGTCTTCTGCCCATTTTTGGATTGGGTTGTTTGTTTTTTTGTTATTAAGCTGCATGAGCTGCTTATAAATTTTGGAGATTAATCCTTTGTCAGTTGCTTCATTTGCAAATATTTTCTCCCATTCTGAGGGTTGTCTTTTGGTCTTCTTTATGGTTTCCCTTGCTGCGCAAAAGCTTTTAAGTTTCATTAGGTCCCATTTGTTTACTTTTGTTTTTATTTCCATTTCTCTAGGAGGTGGGTCAAAAAGGACCTTGCTGTGATTTATGTCATAGAGTCTTCTGCCTATGTTTTCCTCTAAGAGTTTGATAGTTTCTGGCCTTACATTTAGGTCTTTAATCCATTTTGAGCTTATTTTTGTGTATGGTGTTAGGGAGTGATCTAATCTCATACTTTTACATGTAGCTGTCCAGTTTTCCCAGCACCACTTATTGAATAGGCTGTCCTTTCTCCACTGTACATTCTGCCTCCTTTGTCAAAGATAAGGTGACCATATGTGCGTGGGTTTATCTCTGGGCTTCCTATCCTGTTCCATTGATCTATATTTCTGTTTTTGTGCCAGTACCATACTGTCTTGATTACTGTAGCTTTGTAGTATAGTCTGAAGTCAGGAAGCCTGATTCCTCCAGCTCCGTTTTTCGTTCTCAAGATTGCTTTGGCTATTCGGGGTCTTTTGTGTTTCCATACAAATTGTGAGATTTTTTGTTCTAGATGAACCCAATCTTAAAGATATATTTCAGACTTGCAAATTAGGCAGATGACATCCGGGGAGCATTTCAAACATCTTAAAGAATGACATGCACAAAGCAGCCCAACAATTATAAACATTACACCTATATAAACACAACTAATATGAAAGTGAAAGTAGGTTAATATTCTGTACCATCTAATCAGGGAAATAAAATTGCCCTTCCAGGCCCATTCAGGAGACCACAGCAGGGGCTACTGGTCACCAGAGTTGGTGACCTACAGGGGCCGTGGCCTGGTGTGGTTTCCAGGTTAAGCGGCTATGGTTAGAGGGGCCCTTTCTGCTTCCCAGATTTTGTTGCCAAATTAAGGAGCCTTTCTAAACGGCTTCTTTTAGCTGAGATTTAAATAATTCCATGAATTTCCATGTCTTCCACCCTAGTGCCTTTCCCCAAAATAATTGGGAGGCATCTTAGGACCTCGGGTTTTTATTTCCTTGGGAATAACCGTTATGCAGCTTCCGCATTAAGGCTTGGAGTGGACGCGGTGTTAATCTCGTGGCTCAGGTAGCGGCTGCCTCCTTGTCTACATCCTCAGGTGCTTCGTGTTCCACCGCCTTTCCTGTTATGTTGTCTCTTTTTTGACATTTTAATGAAAATGTTAAAACTCTTTACTGTTACTTAAGTAAAATGCACTTTTCCCCCCTTCACCTCAACAGGCATCTTCTTCTGAAGACATGGGCAGGTGGATTGGGATTTTGCTGGCTGAGACGGGGTCCTCCACAGACCCTGGGGCCCTGCACTATGATTACATAGACGTGGAGATGTCGGCCAATGTCATTCAGACGGCCAAGCAAACCTTCTGGTAAGATCCACCGCCATGCGAAGCGGCACTGAAATTAAACAACTTTGTTTTTTCCCTAATTTTCTTTTCCTTTTATGTAGGTGTATAGCCTTCAAGGGGGAAAAAAAAACAGCTGAAGACTCCTTTTTGTATAATATTAACCCAAATTTTGCTGAAATGTTTGTCATTTCAACCATCTGTGTTTTCTGTTAGAACAGAGGTTGGGAAACTTTTTCTGCAAAAGGCAAGATAGTAATATTTTTGGCTTTGTGGACCAAATGTTCCCTGTTAAAACTACTCAGCTCCACCACTGCAGTCACACACGTAAATGAATGGACATGTGCCAATAAAACTTTATTTGCAAACACAGGCAGTGGGCCAGATTTGACCCATGGGCTGTAGTTTGCTGACCCCTGTATTAGGGGAACAGTTCTATAAGGCATAAATAATTCGACATATTGCTGTAGTGACGACTGAGTTTTCAAAGCCATCAATCATATACTTTTAAAACTTAAATGTGATTGTTTTTAAAGTGCTGTTATGTACAAAAACGTCCTTTTAAACTATGAATATTTCCTTAACATTATGATGGCAAAGAAAATTATAGCAGCAGCCCTCAAAGTATGGTCCACAGACCCCTGGGGGTATTCAAGACCCTTTCGGGCAGTCCCAAAGGTCAAAACTATTCTCATAATAATGCTAAGAAATTATTTTTCTTCTTCGCTGTAGTGACATTTGCGTCGATGGTGCAAAAGCAACAGCGGGGCGGTGGTGGGGGATAGATTGGCAGGTGCCTTAGGACCATCAGCGGTCACTCCACACTGTGCTGTGACCATTGCCACTCGCTTGTAGTAAAAGGATATGCTGTGTTCACTTAAGATGTCCGTGATGGGGACTTCCCTGGCGGTCCAGTGGTTAAGACTCCACGCTTTCACTGCAGGGGGTACGGGTTTGATCCCTGGCCAGGAAACTAAGATCCTGCAAGCCATGCAGCGCAGCCAGAAGGAAAAAAGAAAACAAAAAGATGTCTGTGCTGAAGCAGTACAATTATTACTTTTTCTGTGAAGGGCCAGATAGTAGATATTTTTATGAACTCTCTCGAGTACGTGTCTTTTTAACGTTTACGTAGTGGGCAGGACACACAAAGCACTTACATTGACTGAACTGTCATGTCGTCTCGAGGAGACGCTCCTGTAAGACTGAGTTGCTAACTCAACTAGCCGCTCCCTAACCCCGCCACCATTTTTTCACTTTTACTTGAAAGAACAATTAACAGGTGAACTGTGGTTATTCAGACGTAAGTATTTGCAGACACTTTTTCAGAAATGAACCGAGTGAGCCTCTCCCCTCGAGGAAAACGCTTGGCAGTGTTTGTTGCCTGCAGTGGAGTTGAGCTTGCCCTCAGAAATGAGAATTCGGGGAGATTTGTATCTGCCACTGTGAGCTGACAGCTTCCCAGTACTCAGACTTTTCTGATAAGATTGGTGGTGATATTGAGTGTGGTTTTTTTGATACAGTATAGTGAAGAGTCTACATGGAAATTAATCATTAAGAAATTACTACTTGTCGAGCTTTGGTGTAGCATCAAAGAATATCTACCATGACCTGGAAAAGCTATGAAAATACACCTCACTTTTACAACTGGGTATCTGCGGGAGGCTAGATTTTCTTCATATGCTTCAACCAAAACAACTTGTTGCAACCAGGTGAATGTTGAAGCACGTGTGAGAATCCAGCCGTCTTCTCTTAAGCCAGACCTTGAATAGATTTACAAGCAGGTATGACTACCACTTCTCTCACTCATTTTCTTTTATTTTGGAAAATATAGTTAATTTTTATAGAAATATGTTTACATGTGGTGGATTTATTCCCATTATTTTTAAATGAATAAAAACGAATACATTTCTGAGTTTCAATTTCAAATACAGTCAACACTGCTAGCAAACACCCACATAGAACAAAGCTCTTTGGGAGTCTTCAGTAACTTCGAAGGATGTGAAGACGAAAAACACTTGAGGATTGCCGATGTGTAGGAATGGATCTGTGAAGTTAAGAAGTGGCTGGTTCCTATTTCATGCTGTCCACTGTCTAAAGCAGGGGTTGGTCCTACTTTTCTGTGAAGGGCAAGATGGTGAACATTTTCACCTTTGCAGACCACATGTTCTCCACTGTGACGACCCCTCTCCGTCGCCACGTTCAGCTCCGCATGGCGGGGCAAAAGCAGCAGGGCAGTCCTGAAACCAGCGGACGTGGCCATGCCCGGCAGGAGTTTGCTGATCCTTGGTATAAAGCGGTGCCCGTGGGATTGCGAGGGGACGCCCTGGGCTGGAGGAAGGAAATCGGGTTCTGGTCCTGCTGCAGTAGTTACTAAATGGAAAGTCTGGGCAAGTCATTCCTAAGCTGTTAGTGTTGCAGCTTCCTTGTGTAGAAAACAGAGAGTTTAGGCGACATGATGTCTGAAACTTCCAGCTGCCATAGCTCTGGTCCCTTGATTCCCCCTTCTGTTTCCTTCATCTTTAGAGAGTCTGGATTGGGGCTGAGGAGAGGCAGATTGAAACAGAGCAGGTGATGGAGTTACATAATCAGCAGGTGATGATAAGCGTTCTATCGACTTCCTACCCTTTGAGTAGGAAGAAGATAAACTCAAATGTTTACGCTGTCACTTGCCTGTTTAATAAGAACAGCGCCATCTAGTTTTTCCACCCAAGTGGTGTTTATGGGAGATTGGCGCGTTCTTCCTTTGTATCTTGAATGGGGTTGTAGAATGAATGTTTATTTAATGATTGCCTGGGACATTCTGGGGCTGAGTAAAATGAAGATAACGTTTGACCATATTAGGAATCAAGCCACCATGTTACACCCAATTAAGGTAAATAGCCTTGACAAAATGAATTAATCTTGTACGACTTTACTGGGAAATCTCCAGTAATGCTGGAGGACTTCTGAAGTACAAACTGCTTATTCTCGCTACTGTTCTTTTGTGTGAAAACCAGGGTGACATAGTCAAGTGCTGACTGTTCATCCTCGTTATTTTTTCCATAATAACATTCTATCTAATCAGCAAGGTGTAGGTAAATTACAGTGAACCTCCTAATCGTGCAGTAAATAAAGCACATTTAAAGTAGCTTTTTTAGAAATGTAATATCCTTAAGTCCACTTTTGCAAAATCTGCCCATCTAGAGTGACATAAAAGAAAGGAGCTTATGGTTGTTGACCATACTATTTTGGACCTTATTAGTTTCCAAAAAGCCTCTGCTAAGTCCGCGTGTAACTTCAGCGATAATAAGCAAACTGATGACCACATCTAAGAGAAACCCTGACTAAAAATCTTTCCCCTGTAGCACAGATGAGTGTGGAATATTCATCTAAACCAAACGTGGGAAGGTCACATTTTCGAGAAGGGAATGTAGATTGCAATTCTGAAAACTGATTTATTAAAAGTATGCATGTAATGAGTTTGTGGCTGCAGGAGTCTTTGCTACCCCATTAAAACCTTTATAGGAGATGTCACTTAGCAATAAAGTTTATTTTTATTTATTAGTTTTCTGCCAAACCTTCTGTAAAAATTGAGAAAAGAGATTTAACAAGGAAACAGTGTTCAAACTATAAAATATGGTAGCGTGCCAGTGTGTTAAATAATCTGAGGTTGAATTAATTTTTGCCTTTGTGTAAATTGTCAGCCAGTTAATGAATCTTCTCAGGGTCATTAGGGGAAATTTTTGTACATTGGATTACGTCTGAGGGAGAAAGGTCAATGGTATATTTTGGGAAGAGGACAGTAAAAGAAATAATAGTAATGTAAAGTCTCCCAGAAAAAGTGGTCTATTTAAGAGTGTTCATAATGGTAAACATTTGAAACATGCTTTCCTGCAGCCTGTTTTTAAATGAGATGTATATAGATGATACGATACAGGGCAAATATTCTGAAAGTTTCTTCTGGAACTCTTTTCAAGTCATGCTGGGTTGGAGCCTCATAAGAAAGCTGTGACAACATTGATGGTGATCAAAGCGGTAGATCAGTGTGGACACAGAGCGGGGAGCAGGCAGACTGACAGGAAACTTTCACCTTGAGTCACCCTCTCATCTGAATCCCTGGGAGGTTTTATTCTAAAATCTATTTCCTGAAAACATGACTGAACCTTGACGGTATTAACGCTAAGTGAAATAAGCCAGACACCAGAGGACGCATACTGGGTGATCCACTTAGGTGAGGTACCAGAGTGGGCGAATCCCCAGAGGCAGGAAGTGGGGTGCTGGGTGCCGGGTGCCAGCGCCGGCGGTGGGGAGACAGCGCTTCAGCTTTTGGGAAGATGACAGGTTTTGGAGGTGGGTGGTAGTGATGGCTGTACAGCGTGTGAATGTACTTAGTGCCCCAGACCTGTACACTTAAAAGTGGTTAAGATGGTAGGGACCTCCCTGGTGGCCCAGTGGTTAAGACTCCGCGCTCCCAATGCGGGGCGCTGGGGTTCGATCCCTGGTCGGGGAGCTAGATCCCACGTGCCGCAACTAAGACCCGGGGCAGCCATATGAATAAATAAATACATAAATGAATAAAATATTTAAAGAAACGTTAAGATGGTGACACTTCTGTTATGTATATTTTACCTATACTTTTTTTTTTCCTTTTTCTGTCTTACGATTTTGGTTTAACAAGTGGCATATGGTCTCTTATCTGATTTCCACTTTCCTATTTGTCTAACGATCGTATTTTAGGAAGAGTGCCAGGCCAGAAGGTGAGGGGCCTCTTACTCGGTCTTGGATCCACTCGCTGTTTCGGGCCCAGAGACTTGGTCTGGGGGCCCAGGTCCCTCTCTGTGAGATGAGGGGCAGCCTAGCTGGTGGCCGAGGTCTCTTCCAGCTGGGACAGGACATCCTGTGTGTCTGTGACCTCCCCTTATGTTCCGTGGGTCAGAAGCATCCTGCTGGTGTCTGTTCCAAGTGAGTGAGCATCTGTCCTGCCCCTTCATGGTCCATGCTCCTTCCTGGCATCTGTGTCCCAGTGTGGGTGCCAGGCTGGGCGCCAGAAACCAGAGACACAGACCAGGCAGGAGACAGTCCCTGGGCAGGGGGTCTGTCTGCCAGGACGTGGAACAGATCCAGGTATCAGTGCTCACGGGCAGTGGAGCGTCCTGGGACCACAGGCATGGGGAGGGCGTGGTCATCCCATGTCCTGCCTCTCACATGACCAAACCCTCACCCCCAAAATACCCTCAAACGGGATGTTTAAACCAGAAAACTTCAAATATGTATCTAAAAACAAGGAGAATCTTTTGTTCTTTCTTTTCTGTACATTTTCTTTTCCTAAATATATGTTGATATATATATATATATATATATATATATTTTTATTTTTTTTTTTTTTTTTATTTGCGATATGTGGGCCTCTCACTGCTGTGGCCTCTCCCATTGTGGAGCACAGGCTCTGGACGCGCAGGCTCAGCGGCCACGGCTCACGGGCCCAGCCGCTCCGCGGGATGTAGAATCTTCCCGGACCGGGGCACGAACCCGCATCCCCTGCATCAGCAGGCGGACTCTCAACCACTGCGCCACCAGGGAAGCCCTGATATATTTTAAGTATAGAATAATGATATACATTTTTGTATCAGAAAAAAGCAGGAAGAGTTATTTTGTAAATTAAAGAGAATACCGTGTCCAGGGTGGGACTCGCCGTGCGTGCCGCGTTGTCCCAGCAGAGGGACACCTGAGCCGCCTTCCTGCAGCCAGGGCTGGGTGAGTGGAAACTGCAGCTTGAGCCTGGGGGCTGACCCTTCACAGCCCCTTCCTCTCATTCTCTTCAGAACCAGAAATCCCAGTGTAGTTTTGTTGCAAGACCTCTTGTCAGAGAGGCAGTTCTCACCTCCCCGCTTACTGCCTTCACTCTTTCTCATTTGCTCTCTTTTATTCATCTAGTTACCATAGAAATGTAAGATCCCAAGAAGAAGCAAAATTGGAAAAAAACCCAGAAAACTATTTTTTTTCATTTCAGGCTGTCTTAGTTTTCCCAATTAGGAGAAACATGTTATCTGGGTTGTTTCTTCCCTAGGCATTGAGGGTTTTCGCTTACAACACCACGAGCAAACCATTCACACCTTCCTTCCTTCCTTCCTTCCTGTGTTCATTCATTCGTGCAGCTCGTACTTGCCAGGCACCTTTTGTGTGCCGGATGAACAGAACTGGCAAAGGCCGTGTCCTCCTGAAGCTCGTGTTCCAGTGAGGAAAGCAGACGGTAGACACACGATCGTGCAACGTGTTAGGTGGTGATTAGTGGTAGGAAGGAGCAGGGGACAGGACAGGGACGCAGAGGTGGGAGGCTGGGGTGATCGGGAAGTTCCCACCGAGACTGAAAGGAGGAGGGGTCTCAGAGAAGCACTGTGGGCAGAGGGGGTGCCCTTGGCCAGCGAGCGAGAGCTGCCAGGAGCCTGGGGTGAAGGCAGCGGACATGGCACTCGGAGCCTCCCAGGCCATGCAGCCCTGGATTGTTCTCGGAGCCGCCGGGGCTTTGAGCAGAGCCGTGACACGAGGGACGGAGGTGGCCACTGTCAGAGGCTCCCAGAAGTTCAGGGCCGTGCAGGGCAGAGGGGAAGGTGGGTGGTGACGCTGAACCAACACTGAGAACTCAAGAAATGCTGTGGGATAGACGTTCTAAAATGCCTATAGAACAGGTCCGTGGACTTTTCCTGAAAAAAGCCAGAGAGCAAATATTGCTACTTCAGTTTTGCAGGCCAGATGGTCTCTGCCTTTGAGAATTAACAGGCTCATGAAAGAGGCATGTGAAAAAAAAAGCAGCCACAGACGATTCATCAACGAAGAGTCCAGGTAAAGAAAGGTGTTCCAGTAAATCTCTGGTGACAGAAGCAGGTTGCTAACACAAATGGGTTATTTGCCGAGTGCCGGGTGTGTGCAGGCCTTGCTCTGGGTACCCGGCAGGGTCATCATGGGTCCGGGCCGCAGTCCTCCGGGCGGGTGGTGTCCTGTCCTACAGGTGAGGAGTCTGCCCCACGGCTGTAGGAACACCCGGTTCTGCCTGGGTCCTGTGCTAACACTTCTGTACCCTGCGGCCTCGGACAGAGCCTGAGCATCCGTCAGAGCTCCTGGAAGCCTTGGTGATCAATCGGAGGGTTGTAACTCGTTTCCTCTCTTTCAGCTTCATGAACAGGCGTGTTCTGTCCACTAACCCGTATGTAGGGAGCACCGCCAACGGCTACGCACACCCCAGCGGGACGGCGCTGCACTACGACGACGTCCCCTGCGTCAGCGGCTCGGTGAGTGCGCCGCGTGCAGAGCGGGGTCAGCCGTGCGGGAAGGCGGGGGTCTGCGGATCTCTGTGACTTACACCCCTGCTTTCTGTCCAAACGAGAGAAAGCTTTCTTACGCTCTGAGGCAAGATGAAAACTCCACCCCATCTCTCTCCTTTTTGACACCCTGTTCATCTTAATCCGCATCTGAACACGCAGGTAATCGGGCACCAGCAGACAGTTTGTCATTCCTGTCAATGCCATTAAACACCGTCAGAAATCACCATCGGAAAGGAGACGCTGCAGAGTAATGACCTTACTGCCAGCTCCAGACACTGTCCTGCATCCTCTGGGTGGGGTGCGCTTGTAGCTGGGGCCCCCATCCGGTGGAGAAGGGGAGCCTGGAGGAAGGAGCGCGTTCAAGTGCAGATTAACGTGAAAGGGGCTCATGTTAGGACTTGGGTGTCGGGGCGCGGGCACACAGTGAAATCCTGTCCCAGCTGCAAAGCCCATGGGATGGCGTCCCCTCTGAGTCCGGGGTGGTCTGGGGTGACTGGGACATGGGTCCTGTCCCACAGCAAGAACACGTTAGGCCCAGTCGGTCTCCTCCTTGCCCCTCCCCGTTCCCACCGCCACCTTCGCCTCGGGGTCTGCAGGGCTGGAGGGGCTCTGGTACCCACTGTGGCCGTAGCCGTCCACCCTGCAGAGAGTCTTGTGGGAGCCACACACTCGGGGAAAGCCCGCGGTGGCCCGACAGGAGCAGGTCCCAGTCCAGTCTCTGCACCCTGCGTCCTGGTCGCTGTGCCCTTTCCAAGAGGGCCCGGCTCTCGGCCTCTGCTTGCTGGTCTCGGTGGAACCTGCCCTCATCGTAGACCCGACCGCCACCTCATCCTCGTGGGACCGTCTGCTCCTCTGAGCCTTGATCTCACCGCCAGCTTTTTTGGAAAGATAAAACACGCCAACCTGTCTCTGACTCTTCCTGCCCGAAGGCCCGCTCGTGTACCTTTCCCCAGAGGGGTTTCTCCCCGGGCACGTGGTTTAGAGAAACCGTGGACCTACACAAACGCTGGTCTAGTTTCTCCCTCCCTTCACTCCTGTGAATACTACACAGGCTCAGGCACCCCAGGGGTGAGCCTTCTTTAGGTTATGCGCAGCTTAAGCTGGTTTAGAAATGAAAAGCTGCCCTTCTCCAAGGCTCTGCATTCAGGAATTGTTTCTGCGTGTCCATCGCTGGGCGGACGACATAGGTGCTTAAGACAGAGTGTCCAGGGCGCAGCGCTCGTGGCTCACTTGCTTGTTAAGGGCTTCCTTGACGTTCAGGCCTCCCTTTAAACTGTTGTTCTACTTGCTGGGCTCTGTGACCGGGCCCTTTGTTTTGCGAGAGCCTGCACTTCTCAGTTTTATGAGGTTCATACATTTGAGCCAATACCTGACATTTTAGCAATGTTTCAACTTCAGTAATTCTTACCCATGCGTTGTTCCCCCCCGAGGCCTAGATGAAAGTGCATCTCCAAAAAGGATCCTCTGATGGGCACACACACACTTTTTTTAATCTAGAAGTTCTCTGGTGTTTGTTTTCTAAGTCTTCCATGTGACTTAATCCTTTGGTATTTTAGGAAAATGATGGTCTGGTCTAGACCATTTTAATAACCCTGGACAAATATATGCTAGGTTGTCATTATGAAACTCACATCCACGTTTATCTACATGTACCATTATTTTTAGGTTGTAGATGGGTCCCCAGCATCACAAAAATAGACACACTGAAGTGATTGCAAAGGAATAAAAAACACTCTTACTATGAAATTTTAAACCTTTTCTATTTTCATAACAAAAGGCTGTAATTACATCCTGGCAGAAAGGAACTCAGCAAGAAGGATATAAAAATAGAGTAAGATAAGTATAGTATATGAATTAATATTTTCTCTTTTTTTAAAAAAAATGAAAGCAGTTCCTTTAAAACTTAAAAGAATCTGGCTGTGGTTGTAAGTTTCGGTTTTAATTTATACTTTAATGTCCATGTTCTAAGGTGGCTTGTAGCTATTTTAATCCTTTGTAAAAAGGTTTTCCACCAGAGTAATGCCATTCTATCATTTATAGTTTGAAACATCCTATTTTCTATGACTATTCGATTTCTTTCTTTTAACAGCCTGTGTCTTTGGTTACTGCACTTTCTTCAGGCATAACCACGTGTGGAACAGGGGTGACGCTGACAGTCACCCAAAGAACTTAAATCCCCGATGCCCGCATAGCAGGCTTGGAAGGGTCCAGAGGTGTTCTGGCATCGAGCCCCTCATCCTATCCTGGAGGAGCCTGAGGTTCAGACCCCAAGCAGTGTGTAGTTATGAGCACAGCTCTACTCCAGCTCTCCCTCTTAGAGCTGTGTGACCTCTCTGCCTCAGTTTCCCCCTACTTCATAAGATTGCTGTGAGAATTATGTGAGTCATTTTTACTGTGAAATAAGATAAGGTGCTTTGGGGACTTCCCTGGTGGTCCGGTGGTTGAGAATCCACCTTCCAATACAGGGGATGCGGGTTTGATCCCTGGTCGGGGAACTAAGGTCCCACGTGCCACGGGGCAACTAAGCCCGCGCGCTGCAACTACTGAGCCCACACCTCACAACTAGAGAGCCCGTGTGCCACAACTAGAGAGAAGCCTCCGCGCTTCAATGAAAAGCCTGCGCGCCGCCACTAAGGCCCAGCGCAGCCAAAGAAACAATGATAGTGATAAAATACGGATAATAATATCTGTCAGTATTTAAAAAAAAACAGGTAAAGTGCTTTGCTGGGACCTTAACGTGTTTTCTCAGTAGGATCAGCGCCCCCAGTCTCCGGACAGACCCCAGTCCAGCATTCCTTTCGTCACATCACATTGCTTCAGCTTTCTGGGTCAGGAGGACTTCCGAAATCCAGTGCTTTAAAGAAATGTCAAATATTTATATATATATAGCCTGCTTTAACAAACAAAACAAAAAAAATTATCATAAGCCAATGGCCCTGGGAACGATTTAAGGAAGAAAGAATCCTTCAGTCCCCAAAGGTAGAAAAGTTCTTCTGAATCAGTCCACCTAGTTGAGTGTGTGTGTTTTATTGGGGGTACGTGCACGTTTTTGGGGGGTGCTTGCTAATAACATCTCAATGTGCTTTGCTTCCTGTGGCCGAGGCTCTAACGACAAGCTGTGTGTGTTACAGTGGGGACCCGACGGTGGCTTTCCCGCTCCCCGTGGCCGAGGCCTGGGAGAAGAGGCGCTCTATGATAACGCGGTCCTGTACGATAACTTGCCGTCTCCGAAAATCTTTGCTCGGTACCCTCCTGCTGACAGGAAGGCCGCTAGGCCATCTCCTGACAAGCTGTCCTGTAACCACTACAAACACCCTGCCTCTTCTGGCCCGCCGGCCTCCCCGTCTGTCACTAACACCTCTTCTCTGGGGAGGGCATCTCTCGGGCTCAGCTCACAGGTACAGCATCTCATTCTGTCTTCTAGAATCGCCTTAAGTCACTGTCCTCCCTCAGGGCTTTGCAGTGAGAGTCTGTTCACCAGCTTGTGGGCAGTGAACCCCATCGAGGGTAAAGCGCAGTTTTTTCCCTCAACTAGAATAGAATCTGCAAATACACAACGTTTGGCCACCCAGGAACGGATTAAATACAGTAAGTCCCCTACATACGAACCTTCAAGTTGTGAACTTTTCAAAGATGCGAACATGCCCCTGTATGCCAGCTGTTGTACTGGGCTACTGTACTTTTCAAGGTACTGTACTGTAAGATGAAAAATGCGTTCTTTATTTTTTGTGTTTGTTTCTTATGTGTTATTTGTGTGATTATAAACCTACTATATAAACCTGTACGAGTATTACTAACCTACCATATAAACCTGTACGAGTATTACTAACCTACCATATAAACCTGTACGAGTATTACTAACCTACCATATAAACCTGTACGAGTATTGCTAACCTACCATATAAACCTGTGCGAGTATTGCTAACCTACCATATAAACCTGTGCGAGTATTGCTAACCTACCATATAAACCTGTGCGAGTATTGCTAACCTACCACATAAACCTGTGCGAGTATTGCTAACCTACCATATAAACCTGTGCGAGTATTGCTAGCCTACCATATAAACCTGTGCGAGTATTGCTAGCCTATTACAGTACAGGCTTTTTAGCCGACTGTGTTAGTTGGGCGCCCAGGCTAACTTGACAAACTAATTGGACGTACGAACGCGCTCTTGGGACAGAACTCGTTCGTACGTAGGGGGCTTACTGTACACCTAACCAGCTCACGGGTTACGTTCTGTATTTCTTTGCCTGTGCCCGGCTCTCTTTCCATTCTTGGGAAGTTCCCCAGTGAATTTTGTGAATTACGGCAATTAAAGGCAAAGATGTTAAAGAGGACAGGGACAGTGGGACAGTAAACGTTTTCAGAAGAGTTTTGAGCTGCAAGTTCCTTTCCTGTGTTTCCATAACACGTAAGTGAGGAATGGGCTTCACGTGGCAATTGCTGTTCGATCTTTAAACATTAAATAGGATGATTCCGAGAACTACAGTATTTTCCCATAACGTACTCCCTAAAGCCAAGTCGATAATAAGGATTTGGGATTATAACTGAATGGTCAGTAACCTTGATATTGAATTATCGTCCATCTCACACCTCGTACTGGTGGCAAAGACGGTAACCTTTCAGTGTAAATATAATTTTGTGTTTTCATGCATGTCAACCTAAGATTTTCTTATGCTTTGAGTAAAGATCTAAGCGCCACATGGAAGAATATTCTACAAACATAAAGCAGAGGGGCACATTTTTAGTTATTTTCTTTTCCTTCCATTTTTGGAGTAAGCTTAAGAAAATGATGAATGCCAAGTAAGATTCTCGAATTTCAGAGAATTATAGCAGTTCTTCGAAACCAATTCATTTCATCAAAGTCACGTGAGAAGATTTTTGTTTGTTTGTTATTTATGACAACTGTTAGAGATTCTCATTCACTGAATCTGAGGGGCCCAGGCCGATGTATGGTCAGACATGGGAGCCATTGGCTTCTAGTTTTTTTGAGTATTTACTAAAAAGTCTGGTAGGTCATGTGCTTCCCCCACTAAGTGAATGTGTCTCTGGCGATGTATTTATCTGTCTTTTTTTTGGTATTAGAGTTCCCTTGGGTAAAAATTATGGGACAAAATATACTGTCTTATATATTTGGATTGTCCCAGATTAGTTTGGAATCAGTCATTCGATACGTGGTTCATGTATGTTTGTATTTTGTTCATTTTTATTTTAAGTAGGAAACACATTTGCAAGGCGTTTACCTTTAGCTGTCGTGTCCTCATTTGGCCGTTTGAACGGGGGACCTACTGTTTAATGGAGAGAGCTCACACTCCCTACACACCTACCGCATGTGTGCTGTAGGTGTGTGTGCTGTGTCCGTTAACCTTCTGAGGAACCGTGTGGGAGACATCAGTATCTTTATATTTTTAAATGAGCCCATGGAGGCTCAGAAAACGTTAATGATGTGCTCAGCGTCTCCTGTGACGGAGCGGGAACTTGAAGCTTCCAAAACCCAGGCTCACAACAGTAAGAAACGTGGTGCGGCAGAGAGGCTCGGGCTTGGACGTGTACAGTCAGCCTTTGCCGTTCGGCTGGACTTAGGACCCAGCCAAGGTACACGTGCATCACTTAAGCAAAATGCACCATGGGCCGGCTGCAGCCACCAAAGAAGTGAGGGGTGTGTTGAAGTTTTTTAAAAGCCCTGTGGTTAAAGTGTAGTTCGTGCTGTTTCTGTATTTTGCCTCTTTCGCTTCCTTGCTCAGACCCCGTCAGTGAATCAACAGGTAGTTATGTATCCAATTAGGATATCAGTGTAGAAACCCTGGAAGTTGAACTCTTAAGTGCACGGTCATGCTACTTCCCCGAAGAGCGTTCCACCGAAATTAAAGCTGTTTATCTTTGGAAACACAGACTTTCAACCAAATGCTCTCAGATACCCACTGTCTGTGCCAGTGTCTTGGTCGGCGTGTGTGATCTCCTAGTCGAAATAGGTGACTTTTGGTGCGTTCCAGCTGAAGACATCCTAGTGTACCTCGTTTGTTTTGAACCTCGGTGCTAGAACCTTCTTAGCTGCTCTGGGAAAGTCACGGCAGTGCAGCGTTGGGAAACCAGATTGGTTTTCTACTACCCGCATTTTTTTCTGCCTATGCTACGTTCTACTTGAAGAGCTAGGGACTGAAACAATTTACTGCAAAAACCCCAAGGTTTTTGTCTGTTTGTTTTTAATTCTCTCATTTGTTTATTTCAACAGTTGAAGGGTAAAAAGCCGCCCCCCGTGGCATCCAACGGGGTTACAGGAAAAGGCAAGGCTCTGAGCAGTCAGCAAAAAAAAGCTGATTCAGCGGCTGGCGTGAAGCGAACGCCTTCAAGTAAGTTGATCCTTCGATTTCCCACGTTCTACCTTTGGGTGCAGTGTGCAGAGTTGGGGCCGTCTAGCCACCTTCCCCCCTCACCTGACCAGGTGGAGAACGCCAGGTTGGGGACCAGCTGGAGAGGTGGCACCATTTGCATCTGCATCCCTCCTCGTTTGCTGGATGGAGGAATGACCACGATCTTTAACCCAGCTTTTATTTTATAACTGTTGCATATACAAGGAAAGACAAAGCTGGCTTAACTGTGGAGCTGGCAGCTTGCGGGCGCGGCTGGCAGTGCTGCTGTGAGTGGCCCTGGACGGTGGGTCGGGACACCTCGGCTTGTGTCCCTGATCTGCTGAGTGAGTGAGTGACTTGGGTTGAGTCGCATAGACTCTCTGAAGCCAGCCTCTGCGTGTTAGAGGTGTAGACAGGTGGCTGAAATAGTTGGGGTAACGCGTGTACCTCAGAGCGTGGGAGACTGTCAGGGTCTGTAAGGAATTCTTGTCCCAGCTGTGATTTCTCTCCTCCCGTGTCGTTCTCCTGGCCACTTGATCAGGGCGGTGCCGTAATCTACCCCATTGGGCAGATGTAGACATAAGCTCAGAGAGATGGCGTGGCTTCCCCGAGGTCTCACCGCTGGCAAATGACAGAACCAGCGTGAGGACCAGGTTTTCAGGTTCCAGACCTGGTGGGGGCTGGACCGGGCAGGGGAGCGGCGAGACTCCAGTGAAAGGCAGCCCGTCAGCGCGCTCAGCTTCCTTCCCGATGTGCAGATACATGACGCTAGGGGTACTGTTAGTGCATGTGTTTGCATTTGCTTCAGCCCTGGCTGTGTTGGGTGGATTCCTCTTCAGCCAGCCAGCCCAGCAGTGTCTGTTCATTCCAGCCCTCTGCTTGCTGAGGGGACAGCAAAGATAAGACAGAGCAGCGGCCGGGTCCCCCACGCAGACGCAGGCTACGGGCCTCAGCACAGACTCTTCCCAGGCTCAGAAGCTCCTCAGCGGGTGTGGGCCTGTCGGGGACGGTTTCCAGGAGAGGAAGATGGGAGTTAGCCTCCAGCCGAGTTTGATGTGAACACCTGGAAGCTGTGTCAACACTTTCTGAACCTGGTTCAGCGTACCTGGTGGACCAGGCTCCCTCCAGGTAGTAACCCTACACCAGGTGACAGGTCACCTAACTGCTGAGCTCCCTGTGTGCACGGCGATTGGATTTCAGAGTCAGCACACAGGGCTGGTGAGAGGTGGCTGTGTCCTTAGCCTCACGCATGGACGAGCCCCGGGGCTCCTGCTTCTGCCCCGAGGAAGCCTGTGCTTTCTTTTTTTTTTTTTACATTTTTATTGGAGTATAAGTTCTTTACAGTGGTGTGTTAGTTTCTGCTGTATAACAAAGTGAATCAGCTATACGTATACATATGTCCCCATATCTCTTCCCTCTTGCATCTCCCTCCCTCCCACCCTCCCTATCCGACCCCTCTAGGTGGTCACAAAGCACCGAGCTGACCTCCCTGTGCTATGCAGCTGCTTCCCACTAGCTATCTATTTTACGTTTGGTAGTGTATATATGTCCATGCCACTCTCTCACTTCGTCCCAGCTTACCCTCCTCCCTCCCCATATCCTGAAGTCCATTCTCTAGTAGGTCTGTGTCTTTATTCCCGTCTTGCCCCTAGGTTCTTCATGACCTTCTTTTTTTTTTTTTCTTAGATTCCATATATATGTGTTAGCACACGGTATTTGTTTTTCTCTTTCTGACTTACTTCACTCTGTATGACAGACTCTAGGTCCATCCACCTCACTACAAATAACTCAATTTCGTTTCTTTTTATGGCTGAGTAATATTCCATTGTATATATGTGCCACATCTCCTTTATCCATTCATCTGTCGATGAACACTTAGGTTGCTTCCATGTCCTGGCTATTGTAAATAGAGCTGCAATGAACATTGTGGTACATGACTCTCTTTGAATTATGGTTTTCTCAGGGTATATGCCCAGTAGTGGGATTGCTGGGTCATATGGTAGTTATGTTTTTAGTTTTTTAAGGAACCTCCATACTGTTCTCCACAGTGGCTGTATCAATTCACATTCCCACCAACAGTGCAAGAGGGTTCCCTTTTCTCCACACCCTCTCCAGCATTTATCTTTTGTAGATTTTTTGATGATGGCCATTCTGACTGGTGTGAGGTGACACCTCACTGTAGTTTTGATCTGCATTTCTCTAATGATTAGTGATGTTGGGCATCCTTTCATGTGTTTGTTGGCATCTGTATATCTTCTTTGGAGAAATGTCTATTTAGATCTTCTGCCCATTTTTGTATTTGGTTGGTTGTTTTTTTTGATATTGAGCTGCATGAGCTGCTTGTAAATTTTGGAGATTAGTCCTTTGTCAGTTGCTTCATTTGCAAATATTTTCTCGCATCCTGATGGTTGTCTTTTGGTCTTGCTTTCTTGACACAGCTCACCTGCGCTTCCCTTCTCCTCGGACACACATTCAAGCAGCCAGTTGGGCCAAACCCTCCTCCTCATCCGTTTACTGTGCTGCTTTTTTCACCTTGTTTTTCTGGCAAATCTCATTTCGCTCGTGCAGTTGGGTGTATTTCTATTCACTTAAAATTTGAGTGTTGTCCACCTGGGGAGGGGCAGGTGGGGGGAGTAACGTGTCTGAAAAGCTCTCTTATGTGAGACCTGAACCGCAGGAGATCTCTGTCTGCATAACATCCCCCTCTCTCTCAGCACCTGTGCTTATTTTATTTCTTAGATGATGCATTCCTGTATTTTATGAGGGCTTCTGTAGGGAATTTTTATTAACTTTGGTGACATCCGATGACGAAAAAAGGGAAAAATCACTGTGCTCTGGGTTTTCTGCTGAGTTCAGGCAGTTGCATTATAGCCTGGACGGGGTTTATTGCATGGGGACCAAATGATGTGGAAGGTGGTAAGTGATTGCATACAGGTTTGTCGGGGAAACATCTTAGATCAGAAGTGAGTGGACAGAGTTTGGACTGTGCTCTGTTTATAGAACATGTGGTTACCCAAGCCACTAAGAGCACTGCTTTTGTTTCAAGTTGTTGATCTGGTCACCCTCCTGCTGCGATCCTTTTAATATCATTCTGTGTGTGGGGTTGGTTGGTTTTTAGAGAGGGGAAGATGGAGCGGGGAGTGATGACCTTGTACCTGCCTTCATAAATGCAGTTTCCATGCAGTCACGATGGTTTGTGTTGTAAGAATCGGCGAATTCGGTGTTTAGGACAGGTGCTAGAAATCGTTAGAAGTGGCTCACCAATGTCTGGCGGAGTGGACAGGGTTCCGGGGGCTCCGTTATCACTGCAGGGGATGAGAGCTGCCAGGGAGTGTCCACCACGGCCCGGGTACCACATGATTCTGTTAGGTGGGTTTTAGTACATGTACCGAATTTTTTTTTTAACCCCACAAGTTAGGCCTTAGCACTTCTGCTTTATAGAGGGTGAAGCTGAGCCTTCGGGGGATTAATTGCTTGTCCACAATCATGGTCTCTTCCCTGGTCAACTGCCTTTATTATTAACCATTACACCGCCCTCCATGGCTTCTCCCCAGAAGTCGTTTCTAGTCTAATAAGGGAGTCAGACATGCAAATAAACCAGCATGGTATATACCATGGAATGTGAGCTCACAGGTGCAGGAGATGCAGGAGGCCTTGGGTCGTCATCAGGTTTGAGCCGTTCGCTGTCAGAGGCCGTTGGGAGGCCACAGAAGCTGCAGAATCGTGAGCCCTTATTGCTATCGAAAGGCCAGAATAATTCGAGGACAAGAACATTGGGTCGGATTTTAACGCACTATTAACTAGTAGTGTGATGTCGGCCAAGTCTCTAGATTTCCCTTAAGGCTGGTTTCCTCTTCATTCATTTATCCACTCACTTTATTTAATGAGCATTTGCATAGTGCCCGTTCTGTGCTTGCTCAGAGTTCTGTATAAGTGTTACTTTAATCCTCGTAACAACCCTGTGAAGTACCTGCTCTTATTACCCCCATTGCACAGATGAGGAAACTGAGACACGGAGAGATGAAGTGCCTTGTTGAAGGTCACACAGCTCAAGTGGCAAGCTGGGGTTCCCACCTGGGCGGTCGGGCTCCAGACGCGGCTCTGGGTGCCCCTCCATTTTCTGATTTGCTCAGTCACTCACTCAGCGGATGTTTATCGTGTGCTCCGTCCATGCCAGGTACCCGCCCCACTGGAGGTGGGGATAGCGCCGTCAGGTCAGCAAAAGAGTTGGACGGCACAGTTGTAAGGATCAGACGTGACAGTGTAATGGAAGTGTTTTGAAAACTACAGAGAACTACACACATCAAGAGATTATTTCTGATGTTGGTAGACCCTCTGTTTTCAGATTACAGAATGTTTTGTTCACTCTCGACCTTGCTGAAGATTATATGTTGCATGCCCCAAAGGGAGGCGTTAAAGGAATTTCCTAACATTCTATTTTCCTTTTAAAAATTTGTTTCAAAGGGGCAGTGGTTGAGAGTCCGCCTGCCGATGCAGGGGACACGGGTTCGTGCCCCGGTCCGGGAAGATCCCACGTGCCGTGGAGCGGCTGGGCCCGTGAGCCATGGCCGCTGAGCCTGCGCGTCCGGAGCCTGTGCTCCGCAACGGGAGAGGCCGCAGCAGTGAGAGGCCCGCGTACCGAAAAAAAAAAAAATTTGTTTCAAAGAATATTGGATAATCTGAAAGGGTCACTTTTCTGTTTGGTTCAAACCTGTCCTGCTGTCTTTCTTGTTGAATTAGCAAAGGGACTGGCTTTGAGTTTATTTCACTGAGTGGGCTGATTAAACAGGCTTTACGAATTACCCTGTCATCTACTTGGTTAAACCTAATTTCCTGTTGATGCGTTTTCTTTTCAAGATGCTGACCAGTACAAATATGGCAAGAACCGGGTGGAAGCGGATGCCAAGCGGCTGCAGGCCAAAGAGGAGGAGCTGCTGAAGAGGCGGGAAGGCCTGCGGGACAGGCTGGCCCAGCTGCGGAAGGAGAGGAAGGGCCTGCGGGCCGCCATCGAAGTGAACACCGGTACGAGGGGCCTGCTTCTGCTGGCGCCAGAGTCTAGGCTTGTCCTCCTGCGCCCTCGGGCTCTGAACCTCGCGAGGCTCTCCTCTTAGTGAGACCGCGTCGTTCCATGCAGTGCTTCCTGCAGCTCGGAAGCCTTGGTGGTAAGCCCAGGGCAGGTGCCACAATGTGGAATAATGGACCAGGCAGGAGGAGGCCGGGCCTGGACCTCAGCTCGCTGGCTGAGGCTGGGTAGGTGCCGGGGAGCTGTCGAGCCTTGGGGGCTGACGGCAGAGCCCGTTGGGAGCACGAGCCTCCGGGCGCAGGAGTTACGTCACTGTGTGTGAGGGGCGGTGTCTCCGCAGGAGGACGGGTCACACTCAGAAGCCCAGCTGAGAGGTCTGTGCGTGGGTAGAAGGAGCCCTCCGTTCCCTGAGGAGGGACTGGTGAGGGCCAGACCGTGCTGGATTCGTGGAAGGGACCCGGGGAGGGGGGACAACCCCAGAGAGGAAAGAAGAGGGAGACGCGGGTGAGGACCACAGCCGTGTCTCTGGATCAGCCCGTCTGTCCTCCTTGGCAGGAGCTGGCCGTGTGGTTCCTGGCTCCGGCGCTGGGGCTGCTGAAATGTATGTCTCCTCAGCTCAAGACTGAGTCGGATCCTGGGGCAAGGCCGACTCTCTAGGTTTCAGTTTCCGGCCTCGGGGGGTCAGGAGGAGGAATGTAGAGACCAGGATGATCCCGAGAGGAAGAACCTGCTTTCCAGCGGCTTCTGTGCCGGAGGAGTTGGCGTGTTACAGCAGTTAGGTGTCAGGTTCAGCCTTTCCTGACTTCGTGCCTATATGGTTTTTAAGAAAGAAAGTGCTTTCAGAGTTTAAAGAACGCGAGGCTGGGTGTGGGCTGAGCCTGTTCGAGACAGCCTGTAGGAGGGCCAGGAGGTGGCATCTCCCGTGAGGCCCCGCCCCCAGGGGATCAGAGGCTCCGTCAGAGAACTGGACGGGAGCCTCCAGGTCAGCAGGACAGGAGGAGAATTTCTTCCCACCGTTTCCAGTTTGTAGGACAGTGAAGATGCAGAAAGATGAGATCAGCTTTGGGCCTTGAAAAAGAGATTGTCATATGCTACCAGGTGGTCGGCCAGGGCCGTCCTCATAAGTCAGTTAACCCTTGGGATCGCTTTCCTTATCTGTCTGGTGGGCAAATTGCCGGCCTTCCTGTGCCACTGTAACACATTTCCAATAAGATGAGTAAAGCGAATGTGCTATGGAGATGCAAGCTCTGCTGTATTCTGACCATAGGGCCAAGTAAGACGACTCAGAGTAGAGAAACATATGCGGACTTTCCAAGTCAGCGGCACCTGTGGAAGCCACCTAGGCCAAGTTCCTCATTTTAAAATGAGTGTATTCGTATATACAATGGAATATTACTCAGCCATAAAAAAGAAGTGAAACTGAGTTATCTGTAGTGAGGTGGATGGACCTAGAGTCTGTCATACAGAGTGAAGTAAGTCAGAAGGAGAAAAACAAATACCGCATGCTAACACATATATATGGAATCTAAGAAAAAAAAAAAAGGTCATGAGGAACCTAGGGGCAAGATGGGAATAAAGACACAGATCTACTAGAGAATGGACTTGAGGACACGGAGAGGGGAAAGGGTAAGCTGGGACGAAGTGAGAGAGTGGCATGGACATATATACACTACCAAACGTAAAATAGATAGCTAGTGGGAAGCAGCCGCATAGCACAGGGAGATCAGCTCAGTGCTCTGTGACCACCTAGAGGGGTGGGATAGGGAGGGTGGGAGGGAGGGAGACGCAAGAGGGAAGAGATATGGGAATATATGTAGATGTGTAGTATGTAGATGTGTAGCTGATTCACTATGTTATACAGCAGAAACTAACACACCGTTGTAAAGCAATAATACTCCAATAAAGATGTTAAAAAAATTTTTTTTTAATGAAATGAGGGGCTTCCCTGGTGGCGCAGTGGTTGAGAGTCCGCCTGCCGATGCAGGGGACACGGGTTCGTGCCCCGGTCCGGGAAGATCCCACATGCCGCGAAGCGGCTGGGCCCGTGAGCCATGGCCGCTGAGCCTGCGCGTCCGGAGCCTGTGCTCCGCAACGGGAGAGGCCACAACAGTGAGAGGCCCGCATACTGCAAAAAAAAAAAAAAAAAGTGAAATGAGTGTATTGGGCCCAGACCCCAAACTCCTGGTATTTGTGAGAGTCAAGGTCCCATGCTTCCTGGTCCGTATTCTTCCAGCTGCAGCAAAAGAGAACAGTTAGGAAGGGACCCTCCTCCTTTCAGGAAGAGCTGGATTTGAGTTTCGTGGGAAGGACCCTAGGCAGGGGAGCTCAGCCCCCAGATTGTGCGGAGCTCCTTTCAGGGGCACCGCATGTCCGTCCTCTGTTATCTTGAAACCTTTGCCTTCGGCTGGAGCAGTCTTGTTTCTCTGGGATTTCAGGCAGGAAGACCCAGGTGATCCTGGAAGAGAAGCTGAAGAAGCTGGAGGAGGAATGCAAGCAGAGGGAGACGGAGCGCGTCAACCTGGAGCTGGAGCTGACAGAGGTCAAGGAGAGCCTCAAGAAAGCCCTGGCCGGCGGGGTCACCCTGGGGCTGGCCATCGAGCCCCGGCCGGGGACGTCGAGTCCACAGGTAACGCCTGCCGCTCCCCGGGAGAGAGATGGGGGTCGCTTCCTCAGGTCACTGCTCCTCCGTCGTCCCCAGCATCGGCACCGCAGAGACGCAGCTCCCATGTCCATTTCAAACACTCTTCTTGGCTGTGTTTTAAGTTCATGGACATGGAATTTTCATATGTCTTTCACTGAACTTGTTCAAAGGTGGTGGAAACACCGAGTCTCTCTTCTTTCCCCCCTTGCGCAAAATCTGAGTGTAGTGAGTACAGTTCTGATCTCTTTGGAGCCGCGTCCTCATCTGATGCCAGTGCCTTAGACAGAAACCTTTGTTCAGTGTGGCAGAGTTTTACAACTTGTCTAGCATGTCTGTCCTGAGAATGATGCCAGGTGCTGGGGACACGGAAATGAGTGAAACCGTCTGTAACCTCGGAATCTAACAGAACGAACGAATTAGACACGAATTAGCACCTCGAGGGATTTGCTGCCCACTGTCATTGGAGAACTTGCTCTTCTCCACGAGCCGTTCCGTTGAGTCAGACGTGATGGCTTCTGTTTTCCCCATGAGGAGCCAGAGGCTTTTGCCTAAGAGTACAGCCCGGGGCCAGCTCCTCCCGCGTCCTGGGGCTTGGGGGGGCCCACGGGCAAGGTTTCTGGGTTACGGGTGTGTGGCACCACTGAGGTCCTGTCACCCACCCTCACCGCCCCCCCAGGCAGTGGTCACCTCGTGCTCCATTGTCTGCAGAGACCATCTCCAAACTTCTCCAGTCGCCGGTCCCTCTCCAGCGACCGCCCCTCACTCTCAGAGGGTTCCCCCCTCAACCCCCACAACTCTTGGCAGAGCCGGCAGCAGAGTGTGGGCTTCCACCACCGAAACCATGACACCAACCGAGCCGCCCGTCCTCTGGGGCACAGCGCAGCAGGGAGCTGAGGAAAGCAGGCTCTGTGAGCGGAGGGGCCAGGGCTCGAGACGACGTCCCTTCCGCAGGCCTCGATTTTCCATCTGTGAGATGCGGATGGTGCTGTCGCCTCCTGCGTGGGCTCGTGTGTGCGAAAGCTCTGGTCGTGGTGCCCGGCCTGCGAAAGTGTCCATCCGCTCGTGTGTTCACCAGCTCGTTGATATGTAGTCACTCATTCAACAGATTAGATACGTGTGGCTGTGCCCCATCTGTGTGCCGGAAACGGTTCCAGGCGCAGCAGTGGACCTCGTGGATGAGAATCTCTCTTTCCCTGGAGCTCGTATTGTAGCAAGGGAGGACCGCTAGGCCCGGGAAAGACACTCACATCAGGCACTGAAAGGGGCCGGGGGGAGCAGTCCAGCAGGGGCTTTTCAGCGTCCGGCCGAACCGGGGACCAAGGGTGTACTAAGGTGGCCGGTTCTACCCGAAGAGTGGTGGCAGGGCTGTGAGTGCTGGCCCATGCGGGGCAGGGGTCTGTCCCAGGGGCCCCCAGGGACCCGTGTCGGAGGCAGACTGGAGGCAGGAAAGCCTCTTGACCTCCCAGGAGGGGCCTGAGGATTCGCTGGCATCGCCGTCCTTGGTCCCATTGGATGGAGATGTGGCCCCAGATGCGCCCCTTGCTGACCCCTCAGGCATCTGCCACGCCCTCCTGCTGTATCTTCACCTCTCCCCCGCCTCGCTGCCTTCAAAGCATCGACAGTCTGTAGTGTGTCCCATCTTACAAAACAGATTCTGCCCAGCCCACGTCCCCTGCAGACGCTGTCCTGTGCCCAGGTGTCCACTCACCCACCTGCTGCGGTTCGGCTGCCCGGGAGCTGCCTCCCCTGACGTGACCTCCGCCCTCGCCTCCCCAGGTCTGGACGTCTCCGGGCACCGCTCAGCGCTCTCTGTGTCTGGGGTGACCCTGCATTCTCCAGGGCACTCTCTGCCCCCCTGAGGGTCTCCCCCTCGCCCCCTCTCGTCAGCTCTCCTTCCTTTTGCCCTGTGCTCTCGAGGGTACGGGCCTGGCTTGATAAAGCGCCTGCTGTCAGGCCACGGGGCCGCTGCTCCCTTCGCAGGGCCCCTCCTCGGACCTCGTGCCACGCTCTGCCTTCTCCCCACCCTGGCCACGTCCTTGGGCCAGCAGCTCATTAGCTGTCCTAGGGGAGTGCTGTGGGCCGCCCTCCTCGGAGCCCAGCTTAGGCCCCCGGGGGTGGGCGGCGTGGTCCTCTCCTTCCCACCGGCCATGGCACCCACAGCCCGGCCGGCGTGGCCTTTGGAGGCATTTCCAAGTGAGCGAGCACGTGCGGAAAGCTGGCTGCTGGGGACCCGCGGTCAGTCGCCCCCAGAGGGGTTCTAAGCAGCCCATTTGAATCACCATTAGGACACCGTTCTCCTCAAATGACGTTGCGTGTCACCTAACCGGTATTTTAAGTCACACGTTAACACAGCCAGAGCAGGGAGAGGTCAGTCCACGGAGACCTCCTTTGGGGGGGAAGTACAGCAGATTGTCGACTTTTTCCCCAAAGAGCAGCTTGTAATCTCACGTGGAGACTTGGCGACTGCAGATTCACTTCGTTCCACCTTAAGTGACATGTGACATGTGACATGTGACATGCGGAGACGTGCTGTAAACAGTCGGGAATCCTCGGTCGCTGCAGGGAGCCCCGCCCCGAGGCAGTGGATCCGGGAGCTTGTGCTCCCCCATCCTGGTCAGCGGTGGTTTCTGCCCCTGCTGCCGTAGCCTAGGAGCTCCCTGAAATCAGAAAGGTCTTTACAGGCCTTCACGGGAGAGGCCGCCCCCGCAGGGCCGGGAGAGCCCGCGTCGAGTGCGGGGCAGAGTGCCCTTCAGCGCCTCCGTCTCTCCAGCTGTAAGATGCATGTTTTAAGGGTGCTTTTAGAGCGGGGCTCTGTGAGGTGGTCCTGTTACTGTTGTTATCGTTTTTGCCTATTTCCAGAACTTGTTTTATTCTTTAAGCCATTTTCCTAGGGGAAAATACTGATGATGTGGAAACCATACCTCACCCAACGTCTTCTCTTTCCATTAACAGTCTCCAGTTTTTAGGCACCGGACTCTGGAGAACTCGCCCATGTCCAGCTGTGAGACCAGTGATGCAGAGGGCCCAGTGCCCGTGAACAGTGCGGCCGTCCTGAGGAAGAGCCAGCCGGCCCCCGCCAGCTCCCCCTGCCGGGGACACGTGCTTCGGAAGGCCAAGGTGAGATCCTGCCCGACCTGCTTGCGGGGGGACGCCGGCACTGCTGGGGAACGGGCATCCGGGGGCGGGTGGGGGACGCCGGCACTGCTGGGGAGCGGGCATCCCGGGGCGGGTGGGGGACGCCGGCACTGC